GATGGCAACAAAAAGCTTTTCCTCACTGTCTGTGACTTAAATGCCCAGGGCAAATACCGCCCACTGTGCAAGATATACTAAGCCTTCCTCTTTTCTGAAACTCAAAAATCTCAACCAGGAAAACATTCAGGTCATATGTGAATGCAAACAAAATTCACTACACATATCCGCTCGTGTACGGCGGCCAACCCTCAACTCAGAAACTTTCCCGGAAATGCCTACATACCAGTAGTACATGCCAAGAACAGATATCTCTTGACCATTGGCTTTGTCAATTCTTGCTGAAAGACAGAGAAAGATACAATCACCTAGTCTAGACAATCGCCCAAGGTGTACACATATATTTCAGTACACAACGTGGGGGCCTTGTTCCACTATTGGAGGAAAATGGTCTCAAACAATAAAGCCGTTGAATTACCTATGGGAAACCCCGTTCCTGTCTCACCAAAACCTGCTTCCACCTCAAAAGCAACACGTCCACTCTCCTACCCAGAGTTCCATGCGGCCGGCAGCCAGCTAGCATAGAACCTCTGCCACAGGCCAGCGCCATGTGACGATCGTCACATCTTTCACAGTCCATTCAAGATATTGCATATGCTTTTCATCCGTTTCATGTTTGACAAGTCTACACATTTTCATAAACAAATGTCAAAGAATGGTTAACTTTCATTGAGAAAGTATGCAAATACGTAAAAATCTACTTGTTTTTGCGTAGTTATCCTATGTTTACATTGGTTGTACGGCTCCACGTGCTGTCATCGAAGCCCAACGGAAAGCTAGCGACACGGTCACTTTGATGCATAAATATATATTGTCATGCAACTCACTGTCGCAGTTGTAGTAGCATATCTATATAGTTATGCAAAACAATATGTAAAGCGCCCCAAAAAACTTGCATTAGTCCTTTCTTTACTGATTTCTGAAAAAGCGCGTTTGTTTACAAACAAGAGAAAAGTCCGGTCACGTGATATGCAAATTAGCCTGTGGCAGTGGTGTTATGCTGAGTCACCACTGCGACGGAGTGTGCAACACGTCCCCCCAGCCGTGTACACTGTCGTTAGATTGATTGTCTGTGACGTCAAGTAATTGTTGACGTAATTTGTATTTGACGACATTACTTAGGGGGACGCAAAAACAATGACGTGGCTCCATTGTTGACGTCATAGATTCATGCTTGGCGACATCACCGTGTTCCAGGGTTCCGTTGTACAAACAACCTTAGCACTACGACAGTCGTAAGTCTAAGTTAAGGTATGAGAGTTACGATCACCTTAGCGCTAAGATCGCTTTGTACAACGGCATCCAGACCGTTTGAGGAACCCTGCATTTAGTTTGCAAGCATCGCTCCTTATTGCTCGGATGCGGCGGATATTGCACCATGAAAAACCCATCACGATGCTCTCTATCTACATGTTAGCGTAGTTAACAAACAAATTACATGTACAAGAAAACTACGGTAAACAACGCAAATCAATCCCTAGCAACGGAAGCCCACCCCTTGGAGACCACTGGCGGTTTTGGAGTTATATGTGCATCATCAGTTGAATGAGACGTCTTCGGACAGGGCACTCATACTCCAAACTGAATACTGTCAAAGCTCTCTGAAATGTCGTGGCAACTGACTAGTAAATGAAGCGACCAGTTATCTCACTTAAAACAAATGTTACTGACAGCAACAATGCAGTCACATCGGATACCTTCGTCTGGTACTTGCTGATTTGTTTTTAAAAAATAAAGGAAATGGTAATAATTTTGTCTTTCACACACCATGATAATTATAGTGTATGACAACAAAATGCTTTTCCTCACTGACTGTGACTTCAATGCACAGGCCAAACACCGCCCACTACACAATTGCAACTTATACTTAGCCTTCCTTTTTTCTCAAACTATACAATCTCAACAAGGAAAACATTCGTCATATGTGACGGAAAACAAAAGTCACTACACAAAGCCGCTGACTTACCTACGGGAAACACCGTTCCTGTCTCATCAAAACCTGTTTTTGAAGTACACCACAAAAGCAACACGTCCGCCAGCCGTGTACACTGTCGATAGATTGATTGTCTTTGACGTCAAGTGATTGTTGACGTAATTTGTCTATGATGACACTACTTAGGGGGACGCAATAAACAATGACGTGGCTCCATTGTTGACGTCACAGATTCCTGCTTGGCGACACCACCACTGTGTTCCACCGTTTGAGGATCCCTGCATTTGGTTTGCAAGCGCATCACTCGGATGCGGGGATATGGCACCTTTAAAAAACCATCGCGATGCTCTCTGACAACATGTCATAACAGCTTGGAAACAAAATACAGGAAAACTACTGAAAACAAAGCAAATTAATCCCTAGCAACGGAAGCCCACCCCTTGCGGTTTTGGAGTGATATATATGTGTCTTTAGTTGAGTGAAGCGTCTTCGAACAGAATACTCATTCTCCAAACTGAATACATCTTCCCGAGGCAACGAAGTTTACTGACTATCAAAGCCCAGTTTCCACCATTGACGAATAAGGCTGGAATTAAGGAGTTATATATATTTTGGCTGGACTAACGAGTCTATGCATAGTTCAATCAAGATCGCGTAACGAAGTCGACATCCGTCTCGTAAACTGCCTGCAGATTTAGGTCGATTGCAGGATTTGCAAAGCATGTACATGTGTACCGCCAACTGGGCGTCATCAGATATTTCACAAATCTTTTCATGCTTTTAATGAAGGTGTTCACCTGATTTGATGCACTTCGCGAATTAAGAGACGTTTTATCACAATACAGATTTTGATTATCGATCAGATCGTCTTGATTTGGCGGTGCCATTTTGTTTGAAGCAAATGCACTGATATGAGAGGTGGAATCTGACTGGTCAATAGAAGGGACATAGATGGGACATAACTTGTAATAGCCACTGGTGGCGCTACGATCGAGCCCAGAAATTCCAGTCTAGTTCGGCAAGGGTGGAAACTTTACTTCATAGTAAGTTAACTCCCTTGCCTCGGGAAGATGAACTGAATACTATCAAAAATAATCTGACATGTCATGGCAACTGACTAGTAGTTGAAGCGACCAGTTTTCTCACCCCAAACAAATATTACTGACAGCAACAATGCAGTCACATCGGATACCTACTTCTGCGACTTGCTGGTTCGTTTTCCAAAAATAAAGGAAATGTTATAAATGTTGTCTTTCACACACCATGATAATTATAGATGACAACAGAATGCTCTTCCTCACTGACTGTGACCTCAATGGACAGGGAAACACCGCCCGCTACACAGGTTTTACTTAACCTTCCTTTTTTCTCACACTACACAATCTCAACCAGGCAAACAGTCATAGGCCAGTTTGGTCAAAGAGACACATGACTTTAAATCAGTTGAAGGGAGTATAGTCCCAATTATAACAGACATGCCTCCAGCCCCTCCAGAACTCTTGAAGGAAATAAAGTGTTCTTGTAAATCATCTAACAGACTCTGCACATCATGTAGTTGTGTCAAAAGGGGGATTCAATGCAGCATCCACTGCAAATGTGAAAGTAACTGTGAGAATAGACAGGACTTAAATGCAGAATATGAAAACTACTAATAGACTTTATATCATGTTAATTGTGCTCTCATAGGTGAAACTTGCATGTGTTCTTTGTGAATGTACTTTACATTGCAATGTATCAGTATATATATACATGTATGTCCTTACAAATTCATAATTATGATAGTAGTATGAGGGAAATAGCATGTAACATTTTAATGTGTTATGCATAAATTTAATTTTTAGAAATGTATCTACATACATATAAGACTTCTAATAATTTCAAAAAATATTCATAGTTCCAGTTCATTTAGCACATTCAAACATTGTATATGAAAAGCAATGAAGTATGTCTTTTTATGTACGTTTCATTAAAGATGAAAACTGAAAAAATCTGTTGTTGTTATCCTTTTCTCATAACTAAAATGATATGTAAACTATTAGATGATGATGATGATAATAAAAAATAAATAAATTAATAATAATGATGATGATGATGATGATGATGATGATGATGATGATGATGATGATGACATTGTGATATGATGACACAATTGTCGCAATTCGGCCGAACACAGGCACAGACACAGGTACAGGTATGATAGGCCTTTTTTCAAATGGCTGTAGAACATTTTCCTCAAGTCTGAATTTGTCTGGGTTTTCTGTGTACCATAACCATACCTTAAGGAAACAGAAAAAAAACATATAATTTGGTTGTTCCGTAAAATGCCCGGGTTTTCGACCATTTCTACTGGCCTATTCAAGTCATATGTGATTGTTAACAACAGTCACCTTACAAATTCGCTCTGTGCGGCGGTCGATCCTCAACTCAAGCTTTCCCGGAGTGGCCTACAGCATCTTTTCAGTTAGTTTATTATAAAAAACAAACAAACAGTCTATCAGCATTAGACATGTCTTAGTTTGTATGTATGGTCCCAAGTTTCCTTTATATTTTTAAACTGGCTTTCATGAATTATAATATGATTGATGTCTATTGTATATGCTTTGCTGTAACGGTATTATCATTTTTACTGTGTCGATCGTTTATAAAGAGAATACCACACAGATCACAGGCATGGTAAAGCATGGACTAATAAAGGAATAAATTAAAGTGACAAGAATTCATATTGAGGGGCAGGAGTTATTAAATGAGTTTGAAATGTAATAATCCTAATACGTCATTCATTGGTTTCTTAAAAGAGAGCGGTATAGTCGTATCGTCACTTTTGTTTATAATTGATGTTTGGATGAGAACCGATCTGCACTTTTCGGTAAGAATTACTTTAACTTGTTTGATATGAGTAAAATATATATTTTTCTATGACAGGGTGGGATTTATATTAACCAACAAGGCCGTAGTTAACTTTTTTTCACACCGGCTGGCTACGGCACTGACCAAGGCCTGTGCTTCGAGCTGAGTCTGGATTTCTCAAAAGCGACTACAGGGTTAACTCCCTTGTTACTTTCCTATTTAAAGGGACAAAAACGACAACTTCCGTCTGGTTGTTGACAACGAGAATCACACTTTAAAGTTTATTTTACCTAACGACCATGGTCTTCTATTTCGTCAGCAATAGTATGTATATGTTTGATGTGATCATCTATCGGACTGTTTGTGAATGTCACATGATTTAATCAAGAGGGAACAGATTATCACTGGTCCTCAAAATAGGGACTGATCCTTTAGTCCCCCAGTTTTCGCTCACGGACATTTTTGTCCAAACATCGTGAAAGACAGATGGCATGTGAAGAATGCTTTCTGCTAGTTTTGATTTCGATTAGTGTTGAAAGAATTGATGATGAATTTGATTGTATCGGCTCTCATGCATTTTACAGGACACCTATCCGCCATGTTTGTTTCATGCTTCAAATATGACCGCACGTGATCGTAATTATTTATTTGCCAAATAGGCCGTTAAAGCTTAAAATAAGTATAAAAATGACTCCACTTGCATTTCTTATATGATAATATTGCATTGTTTTGATATCAAAGCAGTTTGTAAATATCGAAAATTTTCTATTAATATCGATAAATTACTTGAAAATAGACATGACCAATTTCTTCTGGCGAAAACGATAATAATGTTGTATATATGCTTAATTTATTGGTGATATTCGGCAACAATGCATTTTACCATGCAACAGCTCAGTTAACGCTCTTTAGCACTACCGCTGTCTCGCTTTGACAATCCAACACCATATGGAGCTGACATGCCTTGGTGATTCAGCTTCCCGTTTCGATCTTTTGGAGCTGACATGCCTTGGCGATCAAGCACCCCATTTCAATCTTAGTGAACTCACACTCTTAGGGAGCTGACATGCCTTTCTGATCCGACGCTCCTTTTTGATCTTAGGGAGCTGACATGCCTTTCTGATCCGACACTCCTTTTTGATCTTAGGGAGCTGACATGCCTTTCTGATCCGACACTCCTTTTTGATCTCAGGGAGCTGACATGCCTTTCTGATCCGACACTCCTTTTTGATCTTAGGGAGCTGACATGCCTTTATGATCTGACACTCCTTTTTGATCTTAGGGAGCTGACATGCCTTTCTGATCCGACACTCCTTTTTGATCTTAGGGAGCTGACATGCCTTTCCGATCTGACGCTCCTTTTTGATCTTAGGGAGCTGACATGCCTTTCTGATCCGACACTCCTTTTTGATCTCAGGGAGCTGACATGCCTTTCTGATCCGACGCTCCTTTTTGATCTTAGGGAGCTGACATGCCTTTCTGATCCGACACTCCTTTTTGATCTTAGGGAGCTGACATGCCTTTCTGATCCGACACTCCTTTTTGATCTTAGGGAGCTGACATGCCTTTCTGATCCGACACTCCTTTTTTATCTTAGGGAGCTGACATGCCTTTCTGATCCGACACTCCTTTTTTATCTTAGTTTTATAGAGTAAAGTCTGTTTTATCACATTTCATTGCTCGATTGGTTACTCATTTTATGGACAACGGGAGGTATGGCTTCCTCAAAAAGATGATTGGAGAGGGTGTGATTTCAGTAACATGCATGCACAATTCATTGTTTACTCAACTACGCATGCGTGTAAAACTGTAAAACGAGCACTGATTACATGATTCTTGGTCCAGTGGTTGAGCCTCAGCTAATTAATACACTTATAGCCAAGCCGGTAAGCCGGCAAAGAGTGCTCGAGCCCCCACAGTGCTAATTTGATCTGAAATAGGGTGCCTGGTAAAGTGCACTACTCCTTGATATTCATTTCTTCTTTATTTCTTTTATATTTATTATCATGATTATTTTCATCTATCGATGTCTCCTAGATTGTCACATTCCACAGCATTTTACTTAAGAAATAAAAGATGAGTGGGAGTTGTTTATCATACAATTAAACACTGCAGTGAGAATAAACCATTCGGGGATGCCCCCTTTATGGTTTATTCTCACTGCAGTGTTTTATTGTACGATACACATGATAAACAATGACCACAAGTCATTTATTTCTTGTATGACATAACAACATTATTTACATGCTCTTTGAGGATGTTGATAAAGTTTACAAGCTTTAAAATGATTTAATGATGATGACTCCCTGAATGTAATCCGACCACGGAAATGTCGGACAAGTCCTTTTTCCCGAATATTCTCACAATCCTGAGTTTGATCATCTGTACCTTTTCTCCTAATACCAATTGTCAAATCTCTCCCACTTTGGATGTGATTGTTCAGCCACTGCCTTTATCTGAGTTGCCCAGCTACATCTGTGGGAACAACTCACAAGACACTTCCCTCTCAAAAATAATGTCGTCCAATATATGATGTCATCAAGTTGCAAGCACATATTTGAATCTTCAGAAATGACGTCATGATAGAACAATGTTTTATTGTGAAATAACTATGCTTCGTTCTTCATTGCTCTTTTTTGATTTATTACATAGATGTCTTATATATATAAAAAAAAAGAAAAATTATACATGCATATTTATCGTCCATCGTCCATGGACGCCAAACACTCAATCATGAAGTTTCAATTCATATTAGAAAATCCCATTCAAAAAGAAGCATATGAAATCACATCAGTTAGTATTTCCCAGGGGCATTAGTGGCCCAGTCATCTAAGACACCGCAATTCGCTGTCAGAGTTGTGTCCCTTGGGCATGCTAGAAACCTATGATCATGGGTTCGAATCCTGGTTCGCTGCGATTATGTGTCTAGGTTTGTCAGCACCATACTCATACTTGTTGGTTTCACCAAAGTGTTAAATGTCTGAGACCTGCATCACTTTGGGCTTTCTACCCACATAAAGCTGACACGTGATATAACTGGAAGACTGTTCAAAGCAGCTTTAAACCCAAGTCACTTAGTCAGACCTCCCTGTTTAACAGTCACACATGACAAAGCTTTGGCAACAAGCCAGAAGAATCCATCACATTCTTCCTTAAAACTAGTCTTGTGCTGAGACTTAGACCAAGTTAGATGTTTCTTTTGGGGGACTAGGCTGCGGCAGATCTGCAGGAAGTTTCATACGAGTCCCAGAAACATCATTGGTTGTAGTGTCTTCTATTTTCGCAGTTAATATTTATCAAAATCACAGCGAGACAATTCCCGATGGCAGAAATGGGCATCAGACCTCTCGACAGTCCTTCTTTTGCATGTAGGAGCAGACACAGTAACAAGAAATCAGATTTCCGCATCTCTCTGAAAAGAAAGTTTTCTAAACATAAATATTTCCCTATACGTCTCTGATGCCTTGTAGCCTAGTGGTTAAAGTGTTCGCTCGTCACGCCGAAGACCCGGGTTCGATTCCCGACATGGGTACAATGTGTGAAGCCCATTTCTGGTGTCCCCCGCCGTGATATTGCTGGAATATTGCTAAAGGGGCGTAAAACCATACTCACTCACTCACTCACTCTGATGCCTTGTTTCAGCGGTGTCGCCAGCCTATACAATGTACATGGGACTGGACAAGCATGAAAGTAAGTGACTTGTACAACATCTTTTATACACCTCAGGTCAGACTTTTCTTTTTTTGGGGGGGTTCACAGATTTGGGACCAATAATTTACATTAGTTGGTAAAAAAATTATAAACAAAAAGAATCTAATTTCACATACATTGGGTTTCCTCAAACTGTTATGTAAGTCAGAAATATGAAGTGGGGGTGGGAGGAATTGGCTTGATGGGGAAAGAACACACACCCAGCTAGCAACAGGCTGGGTTATGAATGTCTAGCTGTTGGAAGCAGTTTGACAGTGTTTGAAATTATAGGGGCCTTGAGATATTCTGTTATGGCACTTGAGTTGAGGGATCCCACAAATCTGTAACTTTTTATTTAGCATTGGGGTTATGACAGGGAGCCCTGACCTTCAGGCATAAAGTAGAGCCTACATAAGCATGATAAGCTTTGACTGACAGAAAGGATATGAAATGATAAACTTGGGCTTCTGACTGCATCTTAAATCGCAGATTGTTACTATAGTAACCATTGGTTACAATATTTCCCACTTCAGATGAGGATTTGATCCAGTGGGGATGGAAGGAGGATGTATGGTAAGATATTTTTCAGTCTCTTCCATCACTCTTACCACTGCTTACTAGTCATGCTGGTAGTGTCAGGATGTGTTTCTGTTAAGTCTTTGTGGTTGGTCAATTTGGCTAGGCAATCATTGTTTTCATTTATGAAACACCAGCTGGGATTTATCTAGACCTGCTCACAGGCCAATATTCAGCCTCAAGTCTGCAGCAAATAAATTCCCAGTTTGAATTAAAAATTCCTTAGAATTTTTTAAAATATTTATAAACATGACGAAAATGAAATTTTTAATATCACATTTTTTCTTCCAATTTGCCGCCAAAGGCACTTAGTTTGAAATGCTGAAAAATCCCTGAGTAGTTATTGAAACAAAGTATTTGTTAATACCAGATATTATGATAATCTCACATGCTGGTGCTCAATCTAATGCTGGTGCTTCAGTGTTGTGGGTACATGTTGGAGATGGAAGCAAGCTCTTTTCAACATTGTCACCACAGACAGCTTAAAGGGCAAGTTCACACGGAAATGAACCTATTTTTCTTGTACTTTTTCCACATTCAAAGTTTTAACCTAGTAGTGTCATAGACAAAAGTATAAAAATATCACAATTAATTAACATATGTTTTGCATTAAAACGATTTATATTTTTCACATTTACCAAGTGTTCTATTTTCATAACAAAAACACCATGGCTTATGCCCCTTGCAATATGACGTCATTGGTGCCAATTGATAAACATTATGACGACATCATGCTTTGTTAGAGCCGCTTCACGTGGTGTAGGTACAGGTGTGTGATTCTAGCGTTTCAGATGCCAGCCAGCATAGTGTTATGCTGAGTCACCACAGCCCTGGAGTGTGTCGTAGGCCATGTTGTTTTACTGAAAACTGGTACTTGATATCTTTTGCGTTGAGAAAAGACAGGGATCCAGTTGAATTGGCACCAATTACGTCATAATCTAAGGGGGATAACTCAGGCCTGTTTAGCTCGAAAAACGAAGGCCTCCTAACGCCATATAATTTTCACACTAATGTGAGCTTCCTACTTTCACTGTGAAAAAAATGTGTTTACATTTTCAAACACAGATATTAACTAATTCTAAAATTGCGTTTTGTTTAGAAAAAGAAAGAAAGTGATTTTTGCATGTACACTTCCCCTTTAATAAGTGTGTAAGGTGCTACAGTGAATCCATTCTTCTTACACAGACTGGTTCTTGGTAGAATCTTATCCCAATTGCGTGGATCGATGCTCATGATGTCAATTACTGGCTTGTCTGGTCCAGACTTTATTATTTACAGACCGCCGTCATATAGCTGGAATGTTGCTGAGTGCGGTGTTTAACAACAAACAAACAAATTTGGTAGACTCTTCGCCACACCTTGTTGACAATGTTTGTAGAGGCTTTTGTTTGGGATGTATCTTTGCAGTTTTTGCACTGATACTATTAACAGTGTTTGAAAAACCCTCCTGTCTGACAGTCTGAGACGGTCTATTCTGCCGACAGACGGTCAGTTTTGAAAAGTTGCATGCCCGATGGTCGGGCTATTATTGTATTCCCTTAGTTACCTAAGCATTCTTGGTTTATTCGGTGTAAGAGATAAATTAACTGTCAACATTAATCACATTATTCGGTCATATTGACATCAAGACTGTCCTTACACCATTCTTATATTTACCTTTTTGTTACTTTCGTTTCGTAAGTCTAGAAAATTCTGGACTGACAATGTTTTATCTGGTCTGGTAACTCTGCAAAGTTGCCTGTCTGGTTGTCTGACTGAAAATTTGGAGAATTTTACACACTGCTATTAATGGCTCTAATGTTGGTGCATTATGCATGTTTAGCAATATTTACTCACTCATTTGGTGGTGAATAAACTTTTAGTAGACAAACTTATCTGGATTTCCTGTTATCATGATTATGTTAAAAGACTGGGTATCATATTACTGTCAATGCGCATGTCAACTCGGGGATAAGCTCCTGGGGTATCAAGGATAACATTGCCATCACTGTCCCCGGAACATTGAATACGCCACATATATACACTTAACAGCAAGTGCACAATGAGTGGAATACCTGCTCTGACAACACAAACAACGATGAGCGGACTTTCCAGCTGTACGAGAGGTACATCCTGCTCATGGTTGTCAGTACACCAGCACTCGGAAATACCAATTTAACACATACATGGTAAGGCAACTACCGTATTCGACGAAATAAGCGCCCAGGGCGCTCTCAAAATTACAAATAGGGGGCTCTTATTAGAATATTATTTTGGTGAAAAAAAAAACAGCTGAAAGATCGTAAATTTTGTGGTTTATGCTGACAGCCTGAAATGTTGACATACGACAGATATATTTTTCCAGAATTTAATTGCCCATAATTAAGGGTGCCAATAACACACAAGTGCGTAGTATACACAAATAAATAAGTCTTGTGTACATTGATCAATCAGAAGGGGTGCTGATTGGGATTGTTCACTAGCCAATATATTAGCAAATATCGCCGTGGGCGCTTATTAGAGCGGGGCGCTTATTACGTCGAATATGGTATGCTTGTCGTAAGAGGCAACAAACAGGATCGGGTGGTCAGACTTGGTTGACATGATTGATGCATTTCGTCATATCCCAACTGCGTAGATCGATGCTCTTGATTTCAATCACTGCATTGTCTGGTCCAGACTTGATTATTTACAGGCCGCCGTCATATAGCTGGAATATTGATGAGTGCGGAGTTAAACAACAAACAAACAACATACATAGTAATGGACAACGATGGACAGACGAAGAGACAATGATGTTGTCCTAGGCATGGAATGTATGGGCCTGGTTACCGACACAGCCTAGGGGATAATTGATTAAGGCTATGTATGTCATAATATAACTAACAGTAATTAATGAGAAGTCACATAGTAGCACAGGTTGGCTGACAGTCAATATACAATGGTGGCCCAGTTGTTTTAGGCGCCGCTATTCGCTGTGCAGAGTTGCGTCCTTTGGGCACGCCAGAAACCTATGATTGTGGGTTCGAATCCTTATTTGCCCCGATTATGTTTCTAGGTTTGTCAGCACCATGCCCGTGCTCGTTGGTTTCATCGAAGTGGTAAACGTCCGAGACCTGCATCACTTCAGGCTTTCCTCCCACATTAAGCTGACACGCCGTGATATTACTGGAATGCTGTTAAAAGCGGCGTTAAACCCAACTCACTCACTCACTCACTCACTATACAATGCATTGGTGATGGGGATCAGCGTCATATAAATAACGGCAATTAAGTGATGGGGACATAAGTAATTAGCCTTTGGAATTATATGTTCAATGGCTGTCTGAATCGGTGGTTGTGACAGTACTGTTCAAATTGTAATAAATACTATTGTTTGTCATTTTCTCGATGAATGTCAAATAAAAAACTGAAAATCCAGGAAATATGAGTTTTCCCCTCTGTGGTGATGAAAGCTGTGCAACATTGCAGGTTCCATGTAGACAAGGTGTCCTCAGCTCACGTCTATCTCCGGCTCCATGCAGTAAGTGACCTTGACATTCATTCCTACATATGCAAATTCCGTAATTGTGCAAAAAGAGTTAAGACAATGTGTGCAAAAATATTTTATAGATATAATCACATAATCTGTTCACATACCACATTTCATTCAACATGTTGCTTGTGAAAGCTTGGTAGTTCTCTTATGTTTAGTTTCATCAACATGATCAAAAGCCAAATATAGGATAGCTGTTGAAGTGTTTTGGACCTGTGAAGACCCAGGGTAGAAGGGGTCCTCAGCAACCCATGCATGCCGTAAAAGGCGACTATGCTTGTCATAAGAGGCGACTAACGGGATCTGGTGGTCAGGCTCGCTGACTTGGTTGATGCATGTCATTGTATCCCAATTGCGTGGATCGATGCTCATGATGTCAATCACTGGATTGTCTGGTCCAGACTCGATCATTTACAGACCGCCATCATATAGCTGTAATATTGCTGAGTGCGGTTTTAAACAACAAACAAACAATGAAGTGTTTTTGGAATGTTTTTTCCAGGGAGAAACGTTGGACGATGTTCCTCAGGTTGTGGTGGATGAGTGTGCCCAGCTGGTGAAGGCCAACAGTATTCAAGGTGTGTTATCATGATGTTTCTCATACAAGTTAATTGACCCGTGAAGATAAGGGTTAGAATATGTCTTCGGCAACCCATGCTTGCCGTAAAATGCGACTATGCTTGTCATAAGAGGTTACAAATGGGATCAGGTGGTCAGGCTCACTGACTTGGTTGATTCATGTCATTGTATCCCAATTGTGTAGATCGATGCTCATGTCAGTCACTGGTATGTCTGCTTAAGACTGGATTATTTACAGACAGTCTTTTTGTAGCTGGAATATTACTGAGTGTGGCGTTAAACAATAAACAAACATACAGGGTTAACACTTTTGTTTGACAGGCATTTATTAGAAGTTGACGGATGACAAAGTAGACACAATATATGGATAGCACTTCTTTTATGTACTTTTATTGTGACATTTTGGTATAGATCTTTATTCTCTTCTCTTGCTTGACAACGATATAAAGATCTATACCGAAGTTTACTATAATAGTACATATTTGCTAAATCTAGCATTACATACTGCATTTTCTTCTGTTTCCTAAGAAAACATGACTGGAAACGGTTCCCTTGAGAGAAAACCTGTTCCTGAGCATAGTTGAAACATCTTGCCCTCAACGAACCAACCAACATACACGTCACTCTTCTTGTTTTCACTGACGAAAGCAGAACGTCTGTGAACGTTATCTTTGTCATTGTTGTGGATATGAAATGTTTGTTTTCTGTCAAATACAGATTGATTTGTTTATTCACTTGGGTATTCTTACATACATGTTTGTTTCTTTTCACATGGCTGTGTCGTCTAGTACTCTGTGAGTTTGTAGCTCTTGTTTTGTTCCCACCATTTTTGGAATTGTTTTGTTCTAAATGCTGTTGGGTTTTGCTTGTGTTGTGCTTAGTTTGACACACATTTTTGGAACCTCTTAGGTGTTTCAATATACCTTTTGTTGTCTGTTTGTGGCCTATGTGTTAGTTTTAGGCAGTTGGTCTTCGACAATTTGGCTCTGTTTCAGTCATCTTCTTCTTTGTATAGATTAACATTTTTAATGTTATTCTGACTTTTCTGTGTACATGTTTTGATTGCCAATTTTGTGGTTAACATGCCTCACTGTCGAGTGCTAAGGACCCACGCCTGTTCTGCCCCGGTTGTAAGCCACTGTGTGACATCTGTCAACCCTTGAGTATCTTTTCAATTTTTCGATTATCTATGAGTTTGTTGTAAGAGATGGCTGCAACAATTTCGACGACGTTGTTCAACGATGGTAGATTCTTCTCCGCTGCTGACTTCCCCTCCTTCAACTGCTACAGTTCCCAGTGTATCACGATCTCTGCGGGGCTCAGGAACCTTACCCCCAGAGGTGTCCTTCTTGTTGCCAGGCTACTTGTGCCCGTCAATCGCAAGAACCAGCTTTCGATTCCCAGCATGAGCAGAGAAGCCGTTTTCCAGTTAGTCGGAAAGGAGCTCGGCGCCTGATACTCCTGATATGTGGAATTCGACACCATGTCATCACTCCAGGTGATGTTTGTTCTCCCGGCGTCTCTTCAACAGTTTCTCCAGTGGTGGACGATCCCATCAAATGTCTTGAGCAGAGTCTTTTTGCAGGGGTTCGTAGCGACCCATCATTTATTTGTTGATGCGTCCGTTCAAGGACGGAGGACACATCTTCACGACCAGTCTCTAGGCTGTAGTCAGACGAACAAAAAATGTGGCACATTCACAACTTGGAATTAGAGGCTATTTTTCTGGCAGTACAACACTTGAGGCATCTACTTATTCATGCAAGAGTGCTGATTGCAACTGACAGCTGGACAGCTGTTTGGTACATCCAGAAGCAGGGTTCCACTCACTCGGACACGCTGCTGGCCCTGACCTTTCTCCTGTTTGACCTTGTCGACACCATCCCCAGGCCAGGCACATTCCAGGGTACAGGAACGTCCTCTCCGATGAATGTGGAGGCTAGGCAAGCCGTCAAGTGGATGCTGCACCAGGATGCCTAATACTTCCTCTGTCAGAGGCTAGGACGGCCGAACATCGACCTGTTTGCAATGAGCCTCAACCGTCATCTTCCGGTTTACGTCTCTCCGGTTCTCAAGCCATCTCATTGGAAGGGTTACGTGCGAATGCTTTTCCTCCTCCAGTTTTCCTGCTGTCCCTTCTTCAGAAAATCAAAATGACATCTAACCTTGTCTGATTTTCATGGAGCCTTTCTGGCCAGACAGCAGTCGGTTCCCAGACCTTCTATAGCTAGCAGAACTACAACCTCTAAAGCTACCAGAATGAAATCCATTTCAAAATCTCCTTACCTTTGCTGTACTGATGTTATTTGTCTGTATTACGACTCAAGTGACTTACCGAAGGTAAGATCCTTGATGAGTGTACCAAGCACTTGTGGGTCCTGATCCAGTCTCAACCTGTGTGCAGGTTGCAGGAGCTGTTGGTGTGCAAAGAATTTCACCTGATGTTACTACTCCTACCCACACACGAGGCTCGGATAACAAGTCTACGCTGAGGGTATGCCCTTCTGCTACCTTCGGATAAAATGCAATATGTAATACTGGGTTAAGCATAAATGTATTTAAATCTAATTTATTTTATATTTATTACTTATCCTGTATTACATGACAAATTGGCCCACCCAGACTGAAATGCCTGTATGTTCTGTGGACCTTGCTGCTTCCTCAAACAGAAAAGTGACGTGTATCTCGGCTGGTTCGTTGAGGGCAGGATTTATTTGGGCGAGCAGTTTCAACTACGTTCAGGAACAGGTCTTCTCTCTAGGGATGACATTTCCAGTCATGTTGTTCCTGGAAATGGGAGGGAATGCAATATGTAACGCAGGATAAGTATTAAATATAAAATATGTTAGATATTATTGAATTAATGTAGTTGTTATCCATAAAGAGTAGTCACAGTAGGCATGCATTATCCCATTTTTATACAGGGCAGTCATGCATTGAGCAGAATAATAATGCAATATATAGGGTTGTCACGATGACCAAGCAGTACACAAGATAATTATGCCTTATTCAGGGTAATCATGTTTATAAATATCATGCATTTTACAGATAAATCATGCATTTTGCAGATTAATCATGCATTTTACAGATTAATCATGCATTTTGCCAGATTTAATCATGCATTTTACAGATTAATCATGCATTTTACCAGATTAATCATGCATTTTGCAGATTAATCATGCATTTTACAGATTAATCATGCATTTTACAGATTAATCATGCATTTTACCAAATTAGTTATGCATTTTTCTGGACAATTGCAGTAAGCATGTCTCAAGCAGAAAAATCATGTAAATTGTATTCTTCCACAGGCAACAAGATGAACAACATTGATGTTGTGTACACAATGTGGGACAACCTGAAGAAGACAGCAGGGATGGATGTAGGTCAGGTGGGCTTCCACAGACAGAAGGAGGTGAGTGTGCTCTGTGCTGACAACTGATAGTCTTCAAAACTACTGGCATCCTGGCATCCATTTCCTTCCCCTGAAAGGTGGAGCCAAACATAGGAGATAAACATACTGTGTTTTCAATGTAGAGCTGGGTTACCTGTAGATTTAATCGTGCAACATTGAATTTTGAACCGAACGACTTTGTGGATGTTATTGTGTAGGCTTTGGCTAATTTACTTCAAAGTTTCTGACTGTGCTTGTGGCATTAAGTCCTGCTTATTGTGATGGAGTTACAATCAACATTTCAGGTGAGGAAAGTTAGAATAGAGAAGAGGATCAATGAAATAGTGAACAGGTTGAACAAGACAAAGGAGGAGCGATTCCCTGATTTGAGACTGGAGCGAGAAAACCAGGATAAGGTGGAGCGGGAAGACAAGAGACGGAAGGAACAGGAGATCAAGCAGCGAGATAAGGAGGATGAGAAACGGCGGAAGGAACAGGCGGAGTTGCGTTCCTACAACACGCTCATGAAGCCTGAAAACATGAAGTCTAATGTGGTAGGGTCTTTGGAGTGCCATAATAACGGAACTAGCTCTCAGTATATTTAAGATTGTCGTCAAGTGTGCACTATTTACCATGCTGCTTCCAAATGGCATATGCATACAATGATGTGTATGTCTTCTGTCATTGCTGGTGTTTCAAGGCTGTCTGTCACTAGTGTCTCCTTGTTTCAGGATATGTTTGAAGGCTGTGTCTGTCACTAGTGACTCCTTGTTTCAGGATATGTTGAAGGCTGTGTCTGTCACTAGTGTCTCCTTGTTTCAGGATATGTTGAAGGCTGTGTCTGTCACTAGTGTCTCCTTGTTTCAGGATATGTTGAAGGCTGTGTCTGTCACTAGTGACTCCTTGTTTCAGGATATGTTGAAGGCTGTGTCTGTCACTAGTGTCTCCTTGTTTCAGGATATGGTGAAGGCTGTGTCTGTCACTAGTGTCTCCTTGTTTTGTGATATGGTGAAGGCTGTGTCTGTCACTAGTGTCTCCTTGTTTCAGGATATGTTGAAGGCTGTGTCTGTCACTAGTGACTCCTTGTTTCAGGATATGTTGAAGGCTGTGTCTGTCACTAGTGTCTCCTTGTTTCAGGATATGTTGAAGGCTGTGTCTGTCACTAGTGTCTCCCTGTTTCAGGATATGTTGAAGGCTGTGTCTGTCACTACTGTCTCCTTGTTTCAGGATATGTTGAAGGCTGTCACTAGTGTCTCCTTGTTTCAGGATATGTTGAAGGCTGTGTCTGTCACTAGTGTCTCCTTGTTTCAGGATATGTTTAAAGGCTGTGTCTGTCACTAGTGACTACTTGTTTCAGGATATGTTGAAGGCTGTGTCTGTCACTAGTGTCTCCTTGTTTCAGGATATGTTGAAGGCTGTGTCTATCACTAGTGTCTCCTTGTTTCAGGATATCTTTGAAGGCTGTGTCTGTCACTAGTGTCTCCTTGTTTCAGGATATGTTGAAGGCTGTGTCTGTCACTAGTGTCTCCTTGTTTCAGGATATGTTGAAGGCTGTGTCTGTCACTAGTGTCTCCTTGTTTCAGGATATGTTGAAGGCTGTGTCTGTCACTAGTGACTCCTTGTTTCAGGATATGTTGAAGGCTGTGTCTGTCACTAGTGACTCCTTGTTTCAGGATATGTTGAAGGTTGTGTCTGTCACTAGTGTCTCCTTGTTTCAGGATATCTTTGAAGGCTGTGTCTGTCACTAGTGTCTCCTTGTTTCAGGATATGTTGAAGGTTGTGTCTGTCACTAGTGTCTCCTTGTTTCAGGATATGTTGAAGGCTGTGTCTGTCACTAGTGTCTCCTTGTTTCAGGATATGTTGAAGGCTGTGTCTGTCACTAGTGTCTCCTTGTTTCAGGATATGTTGAAGGCTGTGTCTGTCACTAGTGACTCCTTGTTTCTGGATATGTTGAAGGTTGTGTCTGTCACTAGTGTCTCCTTGTTTCAGGATATGTTGAAGGCTGTGTCTGTCACTAGTCACTCCTTGTTTCAGGATATGTTGAAGGCTGTGTCTGTCACTAGTGTCTCCTTGTTTTGTGATATGTTGAAGGCTGTGTCTGTCACTAGTGACTCCTTGTTTCAGGATATGTTGAAGGTTGTGTCTGTCACTAGTGTCTCCTTGTTTCAGGATATGTTGAAGGTTGTGTCTGTCATTAGTGTCTCCTTGTTTCAGGATATGTTGAAGGCTGTGTCTGTCACTAGTGACTCCTTGTTTCAGGATATGTTGAAGGCTGTGTCTGTCACTAGTGTCTCCTTGTTTCAGGATATGTAGAAGGCTGTGTCACTTGTGTCTCTTTGTTTCAGGATGATGGCAACGACTCAGATGACTTCATGTGACTGGAAGACATGAAGATGAAGGACACCCATGACGTTCTGGACGGATCAATTCAACAACATCAAGGTGATCCGCCAACATGCTCATGGGTCAGGGAAGGCCAACAGTTCTGCCACATGCCAACCATGATCCAATCACCTTGTGTTCTCCTACCTTGGGATGAGGTTTCGACCAATCACGCCCAGGGTTACACATGGATCAAAGCATGGAACCAGTTGGCCAGATGGGGAGACGATTTGATCGAGTGCTAGTGAGATTTGACATCCTTATAGGTGAGAAATCACCTGGTGGACATTCATTCAACTGTGATCTCTATATGGACCAGGCCTACATGTGATTAGGAGATCAAGTGTGTTTGAGTTGTATGTGTTACCTGCTCATGTTAATTGACTTCAGTGATAAAGGAGTCAGTATCTGACATCAGATATCTATGTGTGATATACCCTGCTTTGTGCCTTGAGGGGGAAATGCCAGCATTCGATGTCACGCTAGTAATGTCAAGCCACAGTGACTGTTGTCCTCTACTGCCCAAGTCTCAAGGCTACAGCATGCATCTCTTGGAACACATTGATTCATCTTCTCACTGTCAAACAATCCCATCCACACAGGTTGATTATAAAGAGTTGGTTTACAGATTATTTCTTCTCAAGCCTTCCTGCTACTCCAACTGAAAAAACTAAATAAAGCCGTGCATGTTTTTGTAACTGCTAACCTTAAAAATTGAAATTCAGAAAAAATATAAAACCAGAATAACAAGGGTTGTTTCGGCCAATGGTAAAGACTGCTTAGACAATAAAATGACGCTGAAATGCGGCTGTCAGACTTTTTATTTATTATATTTATAAGGACCCAAACTAGGCTAGGATTTTCCATCTTTTTAAAAAAAAATTTTTATCACCTACGGTACGTATCCAATCAAACTTTAAGATGATAACAAGAATACTGTACAATTCATTCTGTTTTACTGACCAAGGCACAAAGTAATTTTAGCGCTAAGACAATTGTAAGCCTATGTTCAAGTATGGGAGTTACGGTCATCTTAGCGTTAAGATCGCTTTGTGCAAGTGGGTCCAAATCTTTTGCGTAAAAATCCGTAAATGCCCACCAAAAAAAGAGAAAATCTGGCCTAAGAAAAGAACCACTTTTCCTTTCTATCATTTCTTGAAGACTTTTTAAGTTAGGGAAGTGCAAAATAATATTAGAATACAGTAGAATCTCAGTAAGGAGAAACCAGATGTATAAAAACTTTTAAAACGGATATGTTGATACTGTTTTGATGATCCCTGCTACATTTTTTGGGGTTTCTACCAAATAACTAGAAATACAAAAGTAGAACATTTCCATGGTCTAAGACTCTCTTTCACACCTACTATTCGATTCCCAACATGGGTACAATGTGTGAAGCCCATTTCTGGAGTCCCCGCCATGATATTGCTGGAATATTGCTAAAAGCGGCGTAAAACCATACTCACTCACACCTACAAACTTATCATGTAACTAGAAAGGATACTATTTGGTGAACACTGAAGTGGTGTATGACAGCTCAGAGCATCTGATCAGATTTGATACATTCATGAGACAATACCTCACTGACACTGGTTGGTATTTGCTATCTTTACTATCTTTTACTTTCGGTGAAAAAACTCATTGATGAAATGTCCCCGGAGTTCCCAGTTACTTCCCTTTGTTTATATGGTGAAGTGATGTAAACATGGCAAACGTAAATACATTTACTAGCATGGATAAACGACTGATATTATTGTAAAATAAATTCAGTTATTTTCAGTGAAATTTGTGGTAACTGAATCTGTAAGCCAACTCTCCACACTTTATTTCACGACAGTGTCAAATGTCAGAATTTTTTAATCAAATAAAAATGATCCGATTGTATAACCATGATAACAATGGTTTGTTATGTGATTTTGGTGTATTTCATACTCTTTATTGTGAGCTTTCTGAGAGAATGTACACTTTCCACTGGGGATGTTGATCATATTGATCAAAGTAAAACCCTTTTAAGAAATTTGTTTGAATGGGATTTGTAAAAATTCAAACATTTAATTACTCATATTTTGGTATGTGAATAAGATTTTTTCAATTTGCTTCTTTGTTTTTATCTTACTGTACCACGACATGATAGAAGTATATTTTCAGGACAAGAGAGCCCAGTTTGGTATTAAATCAAAATGTATAGAAGTATCTCAAACACATTCCACTTGATCATTGATTGTGTATTGGTAAGAGACATCAGCCCGAAGGTCCGAGGTCGACAGATTTGCTCTCGGGCTGATTGTTTTAAATTTCAGCAGGCACTTATGGCCTGTAGTTTATTTTAATAATGATTTGTTAAGCATTATTTAAGTAATGTGATAAGCCTAACTTTCATATTTAGAAACAGTAGGATTAGACCTTTCAAATGGTGTATGATATGTAGTCGCAAAGATGTTTTACATGCTGATACTTTCCTGATAAATGTAGGCTTCATGTCTCATCACTGAGTCTCTGGGAACTCGACGTGATAGCAGTAAAAGCTTCTGGTTGACTGGTTGTGTTTTGTAATTTATATTGCAAGAGTATGTCTCCCTGCTTTAGCTAAAATGTTTGGGCCAACAGTTTTTCTGGTGGGCCTACAGTTTTTTAAATGAGCTGGCTCTTAAGGCTCTCGGGTAACTCTGCTGAGTTTCAGACACTAACAGGTCAAATATCCAAGACTGATCATGCTGATTAGGCCACAACAAATTGATTATTTGTTCATGTTCATCAAATCACCTTGACCACTTTTCATGGGTGGCCCAATCATTGCAATTCGCTGTGCAGTGTTGTGTCCCTTGGGAACGCCAGAAACCTATGATCATGGGTTTGAATCCTGGTTCACCCTGATTATGTTCGACAGCACCATACCTGTGCTTGTGGTTTTTACCAAAACCTCTCAGACCTGCATCACTTTGGGCTTTCCTCCCACATTAAACTTACACCCCATGATATACCTGAAATACTGTTTAAAACAGCGTTAAACCCAAATCACTCACTCACTCTAATATTAAAAAAAAACTAAGTCTTTTAACTAATCTTACATATATGTTAAAGTTTTGACAACATTGACTAAGTATAAGATGTATACATCAATAATGAGAAATAATAAATTTTGATTATTGTTTCCAAAGAACACATTATTTGAAACAGAAACACACTACCAAATGCACACAAATGCAAGAAATCTGACCAACAATTTGTCAATTTTTTGTGGTCTCTCCAATATTGAAATCAGTGGGGTTTGAGAATTTGTTCTCTTTGTGTTGTCTATTCATGAGACTTACACCACTATGACCTGTAGTATTAGTATACAGGGGGCACGGGTGGCCCAGTCGTCTAAGGCGCCGCAATTCGCTGTGCAGAGTTGCGTCCCTTGGGCACGCCAGAAACCTATGATTGTGGGTTCGAATCCCGGTTTGGACCCGATTATGTTTCTAGGTTTGTCAGCACCATACCCGTGCTCGTGGGTTTCACAGAAGTGGTAAACGTCTGAGACCTGCATCACTTCGGGCTTTCCTCCCACATTAAGCTGACACGCCACGATATAACTGGAATACTGTTAAAAGTGGCGTTAAACCCAACTCACTATTAGTATACAAATAATGTGTCCAGTCTTGGTCCTACAGCAATCACTGTTTGTCCTTGTACTAGATAGAGCCCAGTCATGCTGGCTGTACTACCAAGATGGCCGTGCAGATGGTGGTCAGAGTAGTGTCCTCTCTCCTTTCTTCTTCATCCTCTATTCAGCATAATATTATATCTCCATTCCATGATGATATACCCCTGGACATATTTGCGCCAAAGCTTCGTTGCAAAAATTGCGTCATGATATCCATCACCCGCTAACCTAGCACACAATTTCCTGTCTCTTTGAGAGCTTGGACTTAACAACCAATCAAAATGTCTCTTTCTAACAAGATTTTGGCATAGATCTACATTAAACATGGCTGTTCAATCGAACCCTCGATTTATTTCGAATAAACAATTTTACTCGGAATCAGAATGAACTTCTAGCTTGAAAATATTATTTTTTGGAGTATTAGACAGGGAAGAGAAGTCCTTATGCTACCATGTGTGTATTTAAGAGGTACATAGTAACACAAGTCAAGTATGGGTGATTCGTTACATCCCTAGTAACCGAGTTCCTGTAACTATTATCGTGTAATTTGATTGGATGACTATGTTTTGTGTCATGTCATTCAAACTGGACTGAAAAAAAACCCAAATGTTTGGTGGCTAATGGGTACAGGGTATTTGTCTTTACAGAATGGAGATTTGATGCTGGATAATCAGGGATGTTCTTTGTTACCAGAGCTCCAGATAAGCTTTTGGTGTTGTGGGTATTTTACCCATGCATTTTAAAATCATTGGGTATCAGTAATTCTATCTGGGTATTCAAATTTCTGTTACCCACTAGTTTTTACACATGTGGGTATTTAAGTTAAATATTTCAAAACATTATTCATCTAGTCCCCGCAAACTGGTGGCGTGTGGGTTCGAGATCTTTATAAGACGATACTTCCACAAGAAAGTGTGATGGCAAATGATCATGATGTAACTGTCATCGTGGAGTTTGGCAAGCTTGACGGAATGTCCGTTTATAATTTCAAAATAAGTTGGTGATTTGCTAATCGAATACGCAGGGTTACTTCACAATATTTTGATGATACGCACAAGTTTTATTTTTGTAGCGTATCTGTAATGTTCGTTGCGTATTTGATACGCTTGGATTTTATTTTACTGCGTATTTCTGCATTTCTGATGCGTATTTTACGCAGATACGCAGCTTATCTGGAGCTCTGGTTACACAGTTAAAAAACACACAAGCTTTGTGAAACACAGTATGTCTGCTATATACATCTAGCTATTTCAAGACTGTTTACACATCTAGTTGTTGCAAGACTGCCATTGCAATTGTATTAGTGTATAAGAGAATCTGATTCATGCAAACTGCCAAGCCGGAAGACAAAGAATTAACAAGTACCTAAAGTGATGAATAAACCGTAGTTGAAAATATTATTGTTAGCTTGTGTAGGCAAAAAAAAGTTTTTCGATTTTCATTCTTCTTTTTCATGTAAAAAAATATCTTATACCATGTATCCCCATACAGTTTGAGAACGAACTGAATAATTTGCACAGCGAATACCATGGAATACAAAATATATGTGTGTTTGTATCCTTGAATCATCCAATTCAATTGTCGCCATGGTATTTTACGCACAATAGTCTACAGTCCAATTATCATTATTCAATCACTTACAACAATCTTCTAAATATATATGTCGATGATAATAACTTCACAGACTGCTTATTTAATCATTATTCAACAGAAACTGTAGACAACAGTAAACATTTTAGACCTGCATCACTTCAGGCTTTCCTCCAACATCAAGCGGGGCACGGGTGGCCCAGTCGTCTAAGGCGCCGCGATTCGCTGTGCAGAGTTGCGTCCCTTGGGCACGCCAGAAACCTATGATTGTGGGTTCGAATCCCGGTTCGCCCCGATTATGTTTCTAGGTTTGTCAGCACCATACCCGTGCTCGTGGGTTTTACCGAAGTGGTAAACGTCTGAGACCTGCATCACTTCGGGCTTTCCTCCCACATCAAGCTGACATGTCATGATATAACTGGAATACTGTCCAAAGCGGCATTAAATCCAACTCACTCACTCATATTGCTTAAATTACATTAATCCTTTGCATGTTATATGATAATGCTAGCTATCAGAAATGGATATTGATTATCCTTCTTATCATTGGTTCCTCAGCACCATAATCTTCCTCATGGTAGCTAACAGAGTTAGGTCAGACTGTGATTCAAACTTGGTTACGTATCCGCCCCAAAACAAAATTAAATGTGAAAAATTTATATGAAAAGCAATGTTTTTTCTATTCCGCCTACTTGAAATAAGGGCAATTTAAAGAACACTGACTCATTAACTGTTGCCAATTCAGCCTAGACATTTATCCATGTTTCTTTCCCCCACTCCTCTTGACCTCCACCTTTCCCCTACCTAACAAACATTTTGAGGTAAAAAATATATTGAAATTGAAACTAAAAAACATATTTTGACCTACCCACATAGGCCCCAAATCCGAAAACACACCCCCACCAAAATAGAAGAAAAGAATAATAACTCTGATGTTGACTAGAACAATTATCCTTCACAAAGACTGATATAAAATTACATGTAGATACAGAAACATCATAAATAAATCTATTTGCCCTCATAATAACCATAGGTGTGTCAGCAGCATGCTTGTTGTTTCACTATAGTTTTAGATGTCAGCACCTGAATCACGTCAGTCTGTGCTCCCACATTAAACTGACATGACTGAGAGTGTTCAAAGCAGCGTGAAACTAACTCTTTTTTTCTTTCTTTTTTTTGTGGGGGGGGGGGGGGGGGGTGTGTGTGTGTTGTTACGCCGCACCCACAAATATTCCAGCTATATGGCGGCGGTCAGTAAATAATCAAGTCAGGACCAGACAGTCCAGTGATTGATAGCATGAGCATCGATCCCCGCAATTGGGATCGATGTATGCTTCAACCAAGTCAGCGAGCCTGACCACCTGATCCCATTAGTCGCCTCTTACAACAAGCACTGTCGCCTCTTATGGCAAGCATGGGTTGCTGAAGACTTATTCTCCTAGGTGATCTAAAACATATTCACGTGAATATAATATTTTCAATAAAGTGAATAAACAACATATGATGTAGGGTGCAAATTCAGTGTTTTATTCATTACAACTTAACTGGAATGTACCCGCCATGAACCTCACACAAGACAACCCCCATGTGCACCACAACCACACTTGGCTGTTGAGGATGAAACCTTACCATGCAAAGGCTGTGCCCAATGTGCACTTACAAACCAATTAAAATACTCTAAAACTGACTCCTTGACTTTGTTGTCTTGTTCATAAAGAGATGTAAATGAATTAGAAAATACCCAGTTACAAGCTACAAGGAATTACCGATGTTGTACATTATATCACGAGCTGCGGATAATACGTAATTCCCAGTTATGAGTAGGTTATTCTATATATTACTCAATTGCCGCGCGATAGAGGAGTCACCGGTGGCCCAGTCGTCTAAAGCGCCGCAATTCGCTGTGCAGAGTTGCGTCCCTTGGGCACGCCAGAAACCTGGGATTGCGGGTTCGAAATCCGGTTCGCCCCGATTATGAATCTAGGTTTGTCAGCACCATACCCCTGCTCGTGGGTTTCACCGAAGTGGTAAACGTCTGAGACCTGCATCACTTCGGGCTTTCCTCTCACATTAAGCTGACACGCCGCGATATAACTGAAATACTGTTAAAAGCGGCGTTAAACCCACCCAACCCACTCACTCACCATTGTACAACAATGAATACCCTGGAAATATTCGCTACCATGCCTTAGATCCTGAATCAGAACCCACAATTCTCCCAATATGTTTCAATGTTTCTCAGCTCCATACACGTGCTGGGGTTTCACCAAAATGGTAAAGGTCAAAGAACTACATTTTTTCGGCTTCCCTCCCACCTCAATCAATGTCATGAATTGATGCAACGGAAATGATGTTCAAAGCCGCATAAACCAAATTCTCTCGTTGGTTGGTAAATCTTAGGTTATTCGGATTAGTCGTAGAAGATGCTAAGCGTTGATAATATCATAAGTATCAAAATATTAATTTAACCATGAAATATTGGTCTGAAAACAGATTTCGGTTGTTTGGTGAATGCAAAGTCGACCTGATGACCGGACATTCACTCAAGACGTTATTTTATTTGCGTTTTAACGACAACCATGCAAATGTTAATCCTCCAGGAAGGATATAGATAGTGCTTTGTTTCAATCTATGGCAGTTCAAGTTATTTTCCTAAAACTGTTTACGTAAAAAACGAAATAAAAACATTTGAAACAAAATCAAACCCAGAATAATATTATACTGAAAATGTGAAATACATTTCTTGAAATCCTTATAAAAAAATTAAGTTTTGTATTGACATTGTCATTACAGAAAATATGTATAAAAAAACTAAAACGCGAATATGCATTTCGTATATATGTCAGACCGATATATATGGACATGGACAGATCTAGAACTGGTAATACTTGCGGTTATTTGTCTAACAAAACTGGGGCGGTCGGGTAGCCTAGTGGTTAAAACGTTAGCACGTCACGCCGAAGACCCGGGTTCGATTCCCGACATGGGTACAATGTGTGGAGCCCATTTCTGGTGTCCCCCGCCGTGATATTGCTGGAATATTGCTAAAAGTGGCGTAAAACCTCACTCACTCACTCTAACAAAACTAGAGGGTTCTACTCAAATTCAAATCAATTCCCTAACTTCAGAAACGCCGAAAACCATTTATTACATAAAGTCACATCAGCGTGGACAAAACTACGCAATGCTGGACAAGATTGGACATTTTCAGAGGACATTGTATCACGATCGTATTTCTTTTCCTGTCTAACTTAGAATGAACGTACTCGAAAAGGCTAAGTTGCCTCTCCACGCAGCCTGGTTCCCTGGGTATGCTGCGCTGGCGCTACAGGGAACCAGGCTGCCTCTCCACGCCACTTGGTCTGCTCGTTCACCTAACAAACTCGTCCCCTTTAAAGAAATATAAAGCAAATACCAGTTTACAATACACCGTCCATTTGCAAATAGGTTTTACATCAATAGTTATATAATTGCCATGTGCAGTTCTTTGTTTACTTGGCCATGTGAGTGAGTGAATGAGTGAGTGGGTGAGTGAGTGAGGTTAAACGCCCTATCAAAGTTTACCAATAGCTGGGAAACTGCTTTCCTTTACACGAATTGAATTATTTGATCAAGTACTTTGCGGTGTCTGGGGAATGATAACAATCATGTTTATTTCGGAAACACATTGGAGCAATGATATTCAGCGCCGCTATCAGCAATATTCCAACTAAATCACGGCGGCCTGAAATTACGAGCAACTATCCACATCGCCGGGACGCAATGACGGATAGTCATCAATGACCCCCATTCGAGACCAACTCGTGTTATTCCGGGACAAGCCGAGGTTACGGAAAGGGGCGAGTGGTGACGAATGCAATGACCCGGGCCTGGGGCAGCAAGTTGGATGCAAGTCTTCCAAAACACCACTCTGTCTGTTTTCGTGTCTGTAACCCAACTGTTGCATGGTCAAACTTACACCAAGACAAATGTCTAAATTTATCATAAGACTGGGTTGATGTAAATATTTTATAATAAAAAAATTTAAAAACCCCACAAGAATTAGACACAAGTTGTGAAGCCTTCATCGTTATCTCCATTACACTCACGGGGCGGTGGGGCGTTGGGGTAGCCTAGTGGTTAAAGCGTTCGCTCGTCACGCCGAAGACCCGGGTTCGATTCCCGACATGGGTACAAAGTGTGAAGCCCATTTCTGGTGTCCCCCGCCGTGATATTGCTGGAATATTGCTAAAAGCGGCGTAAAACCATACTCACTCACTCAGCCATTACGCACAAGTTTGCTCGAACGTGCCCCCTTAAAATAATTTCTTTTGGTTGCTAATAAGTATTGGTGCGTTTGTGCGCGACCATGCATCTATTTCGCCATATAGCGAAATGGGTTGCTTAACAGATTGATATATGGAGCTTATCACCCGAAAGGTACAAATTCAAAATCAATTTTAGTTAAAACTAAACCCTTTAAACGAATCTGTAGTTCGTTATACAATTCAAACGGCAAGTTTACTTATGTGGACGCATCTGCTAAAAATAAGGTGATATAATTTGCATTCTTTCATTTATAATATATAATCAATATACATATATTGTATATATATTGCTTGTGCTTTGTATTAATGACTCACTTGTGTATATATCAACTTGTTCTCGTCGCTATATGGCTGAAATAATGCCGATGCGACGTTAAATATTAACTCACTCACGTTGCTAGTGTTTTCCCAGAGGGAGCCTGTGAAGCCTAACGCAAAGAGTGCTCCCCAGTCACGTGACACTACCTAGAAACCATAAACAAGATGGCGAAGAAGGAAGCCTTGGTCAACGACTTGAAAGATGAACGTGTCCCACCTGCTATACAATGGACAAATGATCAAGTATCAGATTGGATAGAAGAGCTAGGATTTCCCCAATACAAGGTCTGTCGAGAATACTCGAAAATAAATATTTGTTTTGCATAATGGTTGAGTGTATTTCGTAGCATAAATATTCGAAGTCCGATTTTCGATCAGTAGGCCTAATCGTCTTCATATTGATTGTTATGGAACTAGGCTATCTATTAACATTTAACAGGTAGATATTTTGATTAAGTAGATATTCTGCACGAAGAAACCATTAGCCCAGGATGTAAACGGTCCCACACCCTACACGGTAAAATGGATGTAATGTTAATATGCTAAGTTTTCAATGGTGTCTTTGAAGTTTCGCATATTGTTGCCGACTATTTGAGGCAAAACACCGATCTGTTTCACCTGCCTAACTTAGTGATTAAGAAATAACTGTCAGTTCTTATGGCTTGAAGATAATAATGGACTATGAAATGTAACGACTTGTTGCCTTTTATTTCAGCCATGTTTCACAACAAACATGATCGACGGAAGAAAACTAGTCGCAATAGAAGCATCTGCCTTCCCAAATATTGGTATTACAGACTTTGAACATATAAAGGTATGGTTGAATTACTAATTTTTGAAATGACTGTCTCCGTGGTTGTCAATTGAGCGACATCCTGGAGAACGGGAGGTTGGTTGTTCGATCCCCTGGTCACGTCATACCAAAAGACGTTAAAAGATGGTACTCCTATCCTGCCTAGTGCTTGGTCAGCTCGGACACAGTATAATGTATCCATGTTAAACGATGTCATGGTATGGCTAGCCCTATAAAAATGGCTGGATTAGTACAAGCATCTACACACATGCATGTCCATTGCTATATAAGTGAAATAATCTGGAACGAGATGTTGAATCTTATTTCACCTCGTCTTATATCTACATATTTTAAGATGGAACAAGTATGTATTGATGTATGTGGTCCAAGTTGAGGCAGGGGACATTTTAGGTTACACACAACCAAATGTTTTCCCATAGACTTCTATAGTAACGTTATGATTTTTTTTAAAATAACTAAGCATTCAACAGCTATTACCTGTGCGTGTGTGCACAGTTTGGCCTTAGAGCAGCAATAAAAAAAATAAAAATGACTAGCATAGTCAGCTCCTTTTCCGAGTACCGGAAGCTAAACACACCACCCCCAGTTTCGCACCAAATGTCACCTACTTGAAAATAGCTGTGGTCACATTCAGCATAAGTCATCATGTTGAAAAAGACAGTACTAAATATAGAAAAACATGGTCAGTTTTAATAACTGGATGGATGTACATTTGAAAGACATAAAAATCTTACAGAATATCCTCCAATCACAGCCTGCAGATATCTCTCGATCTGCACTGAAGGCTCCCTACGAAAACCGCACTGTCCAAACTGGTTCTGATTTGGTGTAGTAGAACCTGTTTAGCAACTAAACTTTTCTATCCTTTCAGTATGTTCAGTGTTGGCATGGTTATTTTATGACTTTAATTCTGTTTTCCAGATAATTGCAAAGAGTATAAGAGACTTACTCCTGCTGGAGGAACCAGACTGGACAAGAAGTATTTCCATACCACCAAGAAGTGACTTGGGTAAGGATGAAATAGTTGGTCCATCATTTACACTGACTGAAACGTGATGTTAGGCATGTGTGGTTATATTATAGTTGTTAATCTCACAACATCCATAGTAAACTAGGATCAGATTTTTGTGTGTTTTTCCTTCACATATTTAATACAGACCTGGAAAAATGCTCATCAATGCTTCAGATATAATTACATATCATCAAAACTCAGTTTTTTTCGTTCACAATGTAACATTCTCATCTTGAAGTACAGAAACCTTATCTTTTGTAACTGAACAAAATTTAAAAAAAAGTAAAACTTAAACAATGTTTATAAACACAATATTTCTGAAAGGACTCAGTTTTATCAATAGACATTGGCAATATACTAACTAGATTGAATGGTATATATGGTAACAGTAGGCTGCATCAATTTCTAATTGATTCAACAAAATGAAAGAAATTGTTTGGACATTGCTGGCATTAGGTGTCTGTTGATTTGTGCCAGATTATATAAGGAAATAAAAGATGTGTCTGGATTGACATACATGTAGTATTTATTGATCAATGATTTGTTAATTCTATGGAGTTGTAGCTGTGTAACCATGGGAACTGTCATCTTTTGAAATGAAATTTTTATTGTAAACTAGTACAAGTTGAGTGTTTTATTATTCCAGTCATAACACACTTCAATTTTTACTGTCTTTTATGTTTAGGTATGTATCTGGAGAAGAAGAGTAAACGAGGGAAGATCATCAACATGATGACATATCAGCAGTTTCTGCTGGAACACAAGAACGCCAAGTGGCAGCCCCCCCTCTCCAACCACTGCCTGCTGCTGCCACACGACCCCCCTCCTGCGGAGATCACGCAGTCATAGCACCACCCACACCTGCCGTGATTGACGGGAACCTACAGACAGCTGAGATCCTGCGGCTACCTCCATGGATAACACTCATATCAGTTGCTTACTTCTGACTGACACCAAGTTCAGTTTTCCTATCAAAGAAGTCTGGACATGAATTCTTATACCATATAAACGTTTTCTGTATTTATTACAATATAGCCATTACACTGGCATCTGCCTTACTTCTTGACTTATATTTCACCCAGATCATGCCAGCTTCTGCATTGGGATCCCTCTGTGGTCATCACTACTGATTGTAATATATATTAGAAAAGGTACAGCATTACTGACACCAGCTGACTATGAAATAGATTACCATAGAAATAGGACGGAGTTCGAGATGCACTCAAAGCAATCATGCTGCACCGATATTAAAACTAGTTTAATTGTTTTTGGCCAAATTATTGTTCGTTTTTGTGATAGAATAATCACCATATTTCATGACCATTCCATTTTCAAATTTATAGCCTGACAAGTGTATGCACAGTGAGCCCTATATGCTGTGCTAATAACAGTGTTTCTCTCTACATTCCATGTTAACCCATATAACTGCTTCCACTGAATTACCACAAAATCTCAACTTTGTTTTCATCAATCCATCCCAACAAACAAACCACTCCCTTCCTGTGGCTTCCTGGAACAGTTTACCTGGTACCATCTACATTATCAGGGTGATTATTGTGTACGAAGAATATTGATATTGAAGTCTTTGGTGAGAAGTCTGCTCATTGAAGATCCTGATGTTTTGAGAGTTTTAGATGAAAGTAAATATTAATGTTTTAACAGTTGCTGAATGTATAGTGTTGTTGTCAATAAAGTTTTATCTGATGTGTCGAGTACTGAAGACGTCTGTTCATTATATTTGTCATATTTACAAGTGTGTTCAATATTCTTTGAGAGCAAAGCACACTCTTGGGACTTTAAGGTGAATAACTGTATTCTTCAAGTCCACAAACAACAGAAACATGTCATCAGCACTGATTTGTTTAATTATACAAATGGCCACTGACTCGTGTTGATTGGTTCATCTGAACAAAAACTGAAGTAAACCGGTTTCAGGTAACAGTAGAAAGAATATTGTAAAAGAGTGTTGCTGTCTTGATCTAATTTCAAAGGTATATGTTTCACTCAGTGACCCAAAACTAAATATATCAAGTAGTTTGTCATACATACAGTTCACAGAGACACAACACTTAGTCACTTGCAATGAGACAAGTTTCCATCATTGATGCAATATGATGTTCCTGTCTCTTCCAATGGAGTGTCCACCTGCCCCAACGAGGCAAAAGGTCCAGGATGGACAAAATTGAGTGAGTGAGTGAGTATGGTTTTACGCCGCTTTTAGCAATATTCCAGCAATATCACGGCGGGGGACACCAGAAATGGGCTTCACACATTGTACCCATGTCGGGAATCGAACCCGGGTCTTCGGCGTGACGAGCGAACGCTTTAACCACTAGGCTACCCGACCGCCCAGGATGGACAAAAGACACACGGACATGTTGGTGTCAACAACAATACTGAATGACTTGCTTTTGTATATTGACCTCATCATTGACTCCAAGGTGAAAACAAACCTATACATTTTGGAGAATTCTTAAACAGGCTCTGCCCCGCTCAATGCAATGATGTAGAAAACTGCAAGATTCCTGCAGTCTGGGTGCATCACGACTGCACCATAGTCGAAGGAAATGTAGGTCACCATGTTAATAGAAGCGGTCCCACTGTCCCATGCGTTATGTAAAAACTTGATAATTTCTATGAAGATTGGACTGTCCCAGTATGACCTGGCTGATTGTGTGTCATTATACCCCTAAACTGAATGTATCGCTGCCCATGCCAGTTCTGCTAGGCCAAGAGTTTTAATATTTAGGCTTCAGTGATAATGCATGAATATTGCTGACTGATGCAAAACATTCACTCACTCACCAAGTATGGACTTGGGGAAAATTATCATAGATTATCATGTGATGTCTGCAGCAATAGCACTGGTTGTCCAGTCCAGTATCATAGCAGATTACTAGAAGTCCGCTAGGAAGGTCTTCAGTCCAGTACTTGTACAACACAGTGTTATATATTTCTTGGGGCACTGTTTAGACCAGGTTACCATATATTATTGAGCTGAATATCAATCTTAAGGTTGAGGCCAAGTACAGTAAAACGTCGAGCAGTCACTACCAATCTTATTGGTAGAATGAGGACATATTTATCAAAAGCCAAAATAGCAATCTGTACATCCAATATATCACATAGTATTCAGATCTCCATCATGCGGTCCACATCAATGATGGCTTCATTCGTGAACTTGCCTGAAACAGAGATAACATGAGATGTTTGGATTGAAAGAACTTTCTTATTGGCATGTTTAGCTGTAATAAATTGTTTTTCTTGTTTAATGGGTTTTTATCCAGGCAAATGTGGCAAGAAACTACATACACACTTATTATACATAAATGTTTATAATATTAATAATTACATACATTAAACCTGTTAGGTGACACTAGGATATAATACATAATACGTACCCATGGCAATGATGTTCTGAGAGTGACCTACGATGCAATCTTTAAGTTCGCACTTTTCAGAGATATGAGCCTGTCCACACACGATGCTGCCCTGGAGGTTGGACCTGCAAAGCAATCACACACACTTAATGATGCACATCTCACACAAATCCCGCAGGTGACAAGGCTGAAACTACCAGATCTAACAAGGTTCTCCATGGGGGATCTCAGTTGGAAGTGGTCCCCAGCAACCTATGCTGGTTGTAAGATATCAGTGGATCGTGTGGTCAGGCTTGGTGACTTGTTTCAATGTGTGCCACTGTTCCCTGACGGCATGGATCGCTGCACACTATATCGATAACTGGTTTGTCTGGCCCAGACTAGATTAAATACAGACTGCCATCAAATGGCTGTAATACTGCTTTTTACAAACATACAAATCATAACAATTTATACAGATGTGTACACAGTCAATATATGCAATAGAAACAACAAATCATCTTCCCAAGGCAAGGGCGCTGATTCGGGTTTAGGGGCCGCATGTCTTGGTGTGGGATAGAGTACAGAGGCGATGACTTTGTCGACTAGTTTGGCCGGATAATTGTTTAATTAACCACCCTCTCAGAACCAAGACTGGCATCATCTCCACCCTTACCAAACGTGCCATCAACCTTTCCTCTGCTGACCCCAAACCTGAGATCGCACACCTCCGCCAAGTCTTCACCCACCTCAACAATTATCCAGCCAAACTAGTCGACAAAGTCATCGCCTCTGTACTCTATCCCACACCAAGACATGCGGCCCCTAAACCCGAATCAGGGCCCTTCCGCATCGCCCTCCCGTTCATAGGAAAAGCCTCCCACATCATCAGCCGCCTCCTCAAACAGCAAGCCAACATCGACACCCACTTCACCAGCTCCAACTCTCTCAACACCCTGCTAAGAGCCAACGGCAGGAACACATCTAAACCCCAAGAGGTTAAAGGTATAGTCTACAAAGTTGACTGCAACTGCGGGCAATCTTACGTAGGTGAAACCTCCCGCCCAACCAACACTAGAATCAAAGAGCATAAAACCTCCACCATCAAATCCGACAGCAAATCAGCCATCTCGGCCCATATCAACAACTGTCCCAATCACATCAACTGGGACAACGTCCAAATCCTCGCCAACAACCTCCATGATTTCACCAAAAGAAAACTAACAGAAGCAGTCCACATTCGCCGCCACAACCCAACAATCAACAGAGATCAAGGCTATTTCATCCCATCCGCCTACTATGAACTCATCAAACAATAATCACCTGTTTATTGGCTTCATGCCCCATTGGCTTCTAGCTATGTGTTTTCTGTCCATCGTGTTGTGATAGCATCATCCTTGTTGTCACACCTACCTATGTTATCCCACTCATGTATGCCCTTGTTGTTACTGTTAATCCTCTACTGTTAATCCTCCACTTGCTATATATATTCTGCACTATGTCCCTCATTCAGTCTTGCTTGACAACGGTATAAGGATCTATACCGAAACGTCGCTTTTTACAGTATTAAAGAAGTTATCCATAAAATTGTGTCTATCTAGTACTGTATGACCCATCACCACAATAAATCCATACATTCACGGAATGTTAGACTATTTTAAATCCAGTTATAATCTTTGCGTTTGCGATCCAGTTACAAATTAACCTTACCCCTCCTGAATGGTCACATGATCCATGATGATGCAGTTCGTGACCTTGACCTTGTCACCTATTGTACAATGTGGGCCGACGACTGACCGCTTGATGGATGACCGCTCTCCAACCATCACTCCCTCACTGACAAGACAGTCGGATCCAACCTGTTCAGATACACACGTACCATACTGATGTACATTGACATCCATAAATAAAAGCAATTTGTCAATATGTCAATAAATTATTCTGTCAATAAATTAAACTGAATTTTATCAAGTAATTTGATTTAAACTAGCTGATACACACAAAAGGGTACTGGAAAGCAAGCCAGACTGAGAGTCTGAATTTTTTCCGCAACACACTGAATATTGACTTTCAAACAGTGTTAAAAGAATTCAGCATGTCCCTGCAATTTCACACTAATTTACACTTTATGAATGAATCGGACTACAACACAGCATCTAGATTCCAACCTGTGACTTTTCTTTGATAGTTGCTGAAGGATGTACACTGCTAATCTCCCTGGACGGGGCTAGCACACTCAGCAGCCTGGGAATCTGAAGTCCGAAGTCAAGAACATTATTACGTACGTGATGACAATACTGATGGTCACGAATCACAATGAGTGCAAGCTTCCACAATACAAAGTGTTATTAAACAGGATAAGTGTAACAGTTACCTCCGATAATAATACGATCCGTGAAGATTCCGGGGTAGTATAGGTCTTCAGCAACCCATGCTTGCCATAAAAGGCGACTATGCTTGTCGTTAAAGGCGACTAACGGGATCGGGTGGTCAGGCTCGCTGACTTGGTTGATACATGTCATCGATCCAAATTGTGTGGATCGATGCTCATGATTTCAATCACTGGATTGCCTGGTCCAGACTCGATTATTTACAGACCACCATTATATAGCTGGAATATTGCTGAGTGCGGCGTTTAACAACAAACAAACCAACCAAGAATAATACATAAAATTATTAAAAGTGGAAGAAATATAACAGAAAACTACGTCTATAACGAACACACTTATAACAAACTGATGGATATAAAGGGATATCCTGGTTGTACACCCGGTATATGCTGTATACATGCTTATAATAAAATATGGTTATAACGAACTAGTACAAGTGCTCCCTTTGAGTTCGTTATCATTGTTTACTGTATCTGAAATGCTGTATTGTTTCTTTTCAAATGAATGCAAACCTGTGTGTACTTCATTAAAACCTGTGAATACATATTATAGTTTAAAAAAAAAGAACATTAGGTTACAAAAGGTTCATTGACGAGATAAGCTTAATCTGTGTGTGTTTGTTGTTTAACACCGCACTCAGCAATATTCCAGCTATATGACGGCGGTCTGTAAATAATCGAGTCTGGACCAGACAATCCAGTGATTAATATCATGAGCATTGATCCATGAACCAAGTCAGCGAGCCTGACCACCCGATCCCGTTAGTCGCCTCTTAAGACAAGCAAAGTCGCCTGTTACGGCAAGCATTGGTTCCTGAGATAAGCTTAATAAACACATTTGCAACTTATTCAAATAACTTTTTGAAGAACGAAAAAATATATATCTCAAATATCTATTTTATCTGTTCCCCATCTACTGACCTGAACTTTCCACACAAAGAAACCATAAACCCAACATGCCTAATGGCAATGGGTTACATAATTTAGTGAAAGAATGTTGAATGCTTCAGTTAGCTATTATAACTAAACAATGGTGACCCATGCAGACACCAGGATAGATTGGTCGTAAGATATTTCATGGACGTAATGGTTCAGGCAGACAGACTGTGATTTGGTTCATTATGTGTCACTGTACCCCGATGTCGTGGATAGATCCTCACAATATCAATCACTGGTTTGTCTGGTCCAGACATCATTATTTACAGGCCAGCATCATATGGCTGGAATACTGCTGAGTGTGGTGTTAAAATAAATCCAAGTACATGTATATATAATGGTGACCTATGTAAGTAATGTTTCATGAGTTACCTGTCTGTTAGCTTCACAGTACGTGGCTAGTGTGTTGGCTCGCACACAGAAACCCTTATCCTGTATGTAAGCATAACACCGGATGTCTTCACCATGGAAACAGTCAGCCATGTCGCCATCATGGTCAATCCATGTGGAGAGTTCCTCGATCAGTGTGGTCATCTCGTCACCCTTTCTGTAGCCATGGACATCTGGACATGAGGACAGGCAACACTGAGTGTTATCAAACATTACAGCAGCAGAAATATGTGGTTAGGTGGTCAGGTGAAATGGGGTTTATTTTTGCATCCAAGATAAGCGATGTTCATGCACGTATGTGTCTGGCGGCTTGTACTGGTCCTAACTGATGCCGATTTTATAGTGCTTGCCCTCTGAGATACCAGTTTAACATGAATACCCCACTCAGACAAAGAAAACTGACCTGTCCTTGTTTTAGCCCCTTAATGCCCAGTGCCAGGCAGGGTAACAACAAGTACCAAGTTTGTTATGAGTGAGTGAGGGAGTATGGTTTTACGCTGCTTTTAGCAATATTCCAACAACATCATGGTATGGGACACCAGAAATGGGCTTCACACATTGTACCCATGTTGGGAATCGAACCCGGGTGGTCAGTGTGACAAGCGAACCTCTGACCTTCCACTTTGTGGGCAGATGCTCTTCCACTAGACCACAGAGGCGACCAGAGATATGTGGTCACTATAACTGGTTTTGATGTTTTAATAGTATCTCAGTTCTACAAAATTGACAGCCTTCAAGAAATATAACTATATAATGATGATTATTGCTTTAACAAGTAATTAAGTAAAAGTATGGGATGTCTGCTCAACATTCTTAATGTGAACGGGAAGTTCAAGATAATGCAATTCGTGTTTACTAACTAGCTGAAACCACTGGGCACAGGAAAAGCTCTGACAAACCAAAGAACATAAACTGGGGTGAGTTTTGAATGGAACCCACAAACTGGTTCCTGGCAGCAGGGGGAAGCAACTCTTAACAGTGAACTGCAACAATGTCGTATACAGTTACAAGGCGAGGTCAGATGAAAAAAGGATTAATGACGCATTGAAGATTACTGCACTTTTATAGCGAGGTGCTTGCATGTATGTGAGTGTGGCTGCTTGTGCTATGCCTGTTTTATAGTGCTAGCCGACAGAGATACCATGCAGCAGTTTAACATGAATACCCCACTCAGACACAGAATACCGACTCTGAGCGGAGCAGTGCTAGTTGTATCCCTTTAATGCTGAGTGACATGCTGAGTGAGTACCAGCAAACGTCTTTTGGTGATCCCCATACAGATGCTCTGTCCACGAGACCACAGAAGCAGTCTATACATTTACAGAGCTCTGATATCAATGTGTAACATTACCAGTGTGCCATTATTACATCACATGGATAACCCTACCTGTCTTGGTATCCATGGAGACAAGTGACATGTTGGTGTTGTGGAGATCTGTGTCAGGAGGCTTTGGTTTGGTAAACTGGCGCTTGATCAAGTAAGGCAGGAGTTCACTCTTTATTGTTGAGATTTTGCTGTAGTAAACACAATGTAACTGTACAGATCACTACACCCCAAATAATAATGTATGGCTCATTCTACAATAATTGTAAATGATATGCTGTTAACTAGAAATAGATGCAAATAAATATAAGCTGTTAACTGGAAATAAATGCAAATAAATATAAGGTACTTACAAAAGCAATTGATATGAATCAGGGCCCCGTTCCACAAAGCGATTGTAGTGCTAAGCATGCTAAGACGATTGTATCTCCCATACTTTAACATAGACTTATGGCAGTCTTAGCGCTAAGATCGCTTTGTGGAACGGGATTCAGGTGTTTTTTGTTTGTGCAAGTCTTCTGATGGCTCCAGCAGCTGAGGGCTATCAGTAAGTGCACATAGTCTACATGGTGTCTTACGTGTTTTCTGCCAGGAAGTCCACAACCCATTTCTTCAATATATACAAATGGCAGTCGGTCAACTTGGAACGTATACTGATGCACGGGTGTCTGGAAAGGAGCAGTTCGATCATATACCATGTATACAGAAACAATAAAATAGGGTCTCACTGAGCAGATATATATGTAGACGTGTCAAAACGAGAAGTTAGATAGTGAGTGAGTGAATATGGTTTTACGCCGCTTTTTGCAACATTCCAGCAATATCACGGCTGGGGACACCAGGAATGAGCTTCACACATTGTACCCATGTCAGGAATCGAACCAAGGTCTTTGGCGTGGCGAGCGAACACTTTAACCACTAGCCCCAGAAGTAAGATAGTATACAGAAACAATATCATTAGGTCTCACTAAGCAGATATATATATATTATGTAGGGTGTCTGGAAAGCTGTCTTTAAACCATTTCTAAATTCTAGGCCTACTGTCACAACATTGGGTTTTATACAGAAATATATATGCACAAGCTCCAATTTTCACTTCTACCTAATAAATGAAATAAGAAAACTACCCCTTCTGCCAATGGCTATCTTGGAAAACTGAAACTTCTGCTTACTTTTTTAAAACAGACTTCCTAAAATTGACAGTTTCCTCAAGGTCGACTTCAGAGGTGTAGAACAGAACCCGCTTCCCATTCTCATCCAAGCCAATAAAATCCCTCTCTGAAACAGAAAGTGTGTGTTACAACATTGTCCCTTCGTTGTCCTCCCATCCTTCCTTCCCCTTATATTCCGGGGTAGAATAGGTCTTCAGACACCCATGCTTGCAGTATAAGGTGACTATGCTTGCAGTATAAGGTGACCATGCTTGCAGTATAAGGTGACTATGCTTGCAGTATAAGGTGACCATGCTTGCAGTATAAGGTGACTATGCTTGTCGTAAAAGGCGACTAACAGGATCAGGTGGTCTGGCTCGCTGACTTGGTTGATGCATGTCATCGTATCCCAATTGCGTGGATCGATGCTCATGATATTAATCACTGGATTGTCTGGTCTAGACTCGATTATTTACAGCCCGCTGTCATATAGCTGTAATATTGCTGAGTGCGGCGTTAAACAACAAAACAACAAACCAACCAAATCCTTCCCCTTATAGATGCCTCACTACATCAAGACTGCCTCTGTGGTCTAGTTGATAAAGTGTCTGCTTTGAGGGCAGAAGGTCAGTGGTCTCGATCCCCTGCTCCATCATACCAAAACACATTAAAGAGGTACTTGTTGTTACTCTGCCTGGTGCTCAGCATTAAGGAGATGGAACAAGGACTGGTTGGCTCAGAGTCAGCATAATGTGCTTATCATGTTAAACTGTGGCATGGTATCTCCATGGGCTAGCACTATCTGGACTAGTACAAGAGCAGGTATGCATGTACTCATTCACTTGAAAGTGACCGTAAACTCCATTTTCCCCCTCATTCCTCTAACTTACTGTCAGCCCTTTGCATATCATCCCCCTGACAGGCGCCAGTAACCTGTGAAGATTGGGGTTAAACTGGGTCTTCCGCCACAGATGCTTGCTGGAAAGGGCAACTATGCTTGTCGTAAGAGGTGACTTACGGAATCGGGTGGTCAGGCTCATTGACTTGGTTGATGCCTGTCAACGTATCCCAATTGCATGGATTGATGCTCATGATGTCAATCACTAGATTGTCTGGTCCAGATTTGATTATTTACAGGCCGCCATCATTTACCCTGAATATTGCCGCATGAAGCACTAAATAACAAACAAAGTCTCCAGTGGTTTGTGCAGAGTTGTGTCCCTTAGCTGGAGTTGACTTTGTACTTGGCTTGTCAGTGTTGTACCTGACCCTGGTTTGTGAGACTCCCCAAAGGGGTAAAGATCTGAGACTTGAATCAATATGACTTGTCTTCTACATCATGCACTTAACCTGACACACTGCAATATCAGGGAACCTCTGTCCAAACCCACTAAACCCATTTTCACCCTGTCATCCAACAGCAGACTTCTTAGCATGGCTACCTCCACCATTATAGCAATTGGTTGGGACTATCAGACTAGTGCAATTTCCTACTATTATCTTCCTCCTTACAAACACCACTTCCTCTATAACTCACCTCTCTTCCTCTTGGACTTGATGCCCGGCACCGCGACCTCGGCATACTGCTCCGGAAGGGGAGATAACAACATGGTGAGGGAGGAGTCATACGCTCGGTGAACATTGGCCACCTGGTGGAGACTGATGTCGGAGATGAGGTCACAACTAACAATCAACACATCCGTCTGAATGAAAAAGAAGAAACATGCTTTCTGAAGAAACTAGTGGAATTAATATTCTTTTTTCATTCAGCAAAACATGGCAAATGCATGATGTGTCCTGGTTACCTTAGCAATGATAGGAACAAACTTAGATGCTATATGACTATTATACCATGTGTTATTACAAATACAGTAGAATATGGATATAACAAACTACTGAGAAATCAGTTCATTATATAAGTTTTCGCTTGGGCACATCTGCCATCTTGGATAAAACAAAACACAATACACGTAATTGCAGCATTGACTTCTGTTAGCAGTGATCACTTCATGCATTCAATTGATAACATTTTATAACATTCATTTAATAACATTAAATTCATAGCATTTTTAGATGGTGAAATGGGGTTTAACATCGCGTCCAAGATTATTGCACTTATGTAGCGACGTGCATGTACGTGTGTGTGTTTGTGTGGCTGCTTGTACTAGTCTGGACTGTTGCCGATTTATAGTGCTAGCTCACTGAGATACCATGCCGCAGTTTAACATGAATACTCCACTCAGACACAGTATACTGACTCCGAGCCGACCAGTCCTTGTTTTAGACCCTTAATGCCGAGCGCCAGACAGAGTAACAACAAGTACCATCTTTTAACGTCTTTTGGTATGACGCAGTTGGGGATCGAACCCCAGACATTCCGCTCTCCGGGCGGACGCTCTACCACTAGACCACAGAGGCGGTCTCACAGCATTTTTAGAACATTGGTTGATTGTGTTGATTTGCTGCGATTGTGTTGATTTGCCGCTGATTGTGTTGATTCGGCACGATTTTGTTGATTCACCGCTGACTGCATACAGCCAACTGTCAGTGACACTTGACACTGAGTGAGATTTCTCAGTTAGCTATACATGTCACTAATTAGTGGTATTTGGGAGAGTTTGTTATGTACATAAATTTTATCATGTTTATATGATAACATATTGGAGATAAATCAGGGATTTCGTAACATTTCGTTGTATCCGTTTGTTTGCTCTATCCGTGTTCTACTGTATCAGAATAGAAAGTACCAGTACACGCATACTCAGATGTTACAATGCTAAAGTATGGTGAGTCCATTGAGTATACAGCAAATATTATGTACATCTAGAGGAATTCTATTGAACTTTGACTTCACATATATTGCCATGGGTTAGAAGATAAGTCACATTGCAATCTTACTTTGATTTTATCTTTGATGAAGCGGAGGGAATCCGCTGTGCCCATGTAGTCATTGTCGGGGATGCTGACGAAGTCTAGCCTCATTTTGACATCACACACATCACACAAGGCCTTTTGGGCATCGCCCGCAAATGATTCTAAGACGATTATGATCGCTTCTGTAAAACGTATCAAAGGATCATAAAGAGAAAGAAGAACATCCTGGCCATGCTGACAGCCATTCACCATCACTATGATCAGAGAAAATAAATGAAAAAAATGATGAAAAGATGATAGCAACAAGATAAACATGTTAATCATAATTTCATTCTAATCTTTTCTATCTGATTACAAAATGATCAGTTTAAATCATCATTATGATTATTTTACCATGCTTAGTGTCCAATAGTTCACTGATCAATTTCATTTGAAAAATTTATTGCTTCTTCCTGTTTCTCTCCCCATGAAGGTTCCCTAAGATCAGACTGATGAGGAGAATAATGCATGACCTGCTCCATAATTATGGGCAATTAAATTCTGGAAAAATATATCTGTCATACATAAACATATCAGGCTGTCAGCATAAACCACGAAATTTATCGTTCAACTCTGTTTTTTTCACCAAAATAATGTTCTAATAAGAGCCCCCATTTCTAATTTTAAGAGTGCCCTGGGCACTTATTATGTTGAATATGGTAGCCAGAATATTGTTGACTGTGACATCAAAAACATATATTCAACATGTTCTTGTTTATCAAAGTAACCGAAACTTCCTGCATGTCCCTGGTGCAACCTAACAAATTTTGAAAAGAATTTATTTTCCAATACAAAGATTTGGTGACAGATTTCCTTTTGGTCCTTGAGGTTTGAGTTAGCTTTGATTTTTCACCACTAAATGGTAAATGGTAAGCATTACCTACCATAAACACTGATAAATGCTTAATGAACTACAGTATTGTTCACGAAGTGCTTCCATGGAAGTTGGAACTAAACGTTGAACTCATGACAAAATCATCATGATCATGTATATTGTACATCATGTCATTTGGTAGATCTGCTTAAAGAATTTGCCTGCAAAGAAACAAACTGAGTGGACAACCCACCTTCAAAACCTGCCCTCTCCAGCATGTTGACTGGGTACCAGACCAAGGGGAAGTTCCCTACTGGGAGGAGAGCCTTCGGACACCGGGTGGTCAGGTCCGTCATCCTGGACCCTGACCCGGCTGCCATTACTACCGGCTGAAATTCCATCCTTCTTATGTTGGCGTATCTCAATCAAATGAGGATGTACTTTTCTCTCTCTGGGAAAAATATGGATGATTCATGGTAACATATATATATACACAATATAGAAACTGTCATGTCATGACATCTATCAAAATTATGTAACCCATGGGGATCCTGGGCAAAAACAACTTCAGCAACTCATAGTAAGAGGCGACTAAATGGATCTGGTGGTCAGACTCGCCGACTTTGTTGATTGTATGTCATATCCCAGTTGAGCGTATGGATGCTCATCCTGTCAATAACTGGATTGTCTGGTCCAGTGATTCATACAATGATCACAACGTGGACATTTCCAATTGACATCTATATGTTGCCATTTTGTCCACATTTTACTCGACCAAGTTTGTTGTACACATTGATAAAGCAGTAGAAAACTCTTTTCTTTCAGGGAATCATAAATCATCTAGATTATTAATTGGAACTTATATATTTTTCAATGCAATTTTGTACCAAGAGTATATGCACCCCTCGGATTCCAGTTTTATAGTAAAAGCCCAAAGGTACACGGCAGTATATTCTGATACTATAGTGACGAACAGAATAACTGATCATGCCGCTGCCATGCTTTAGTTTAGTTCAGCTGGTTAAACCATAAGTTGACCAACTGTTTACTTATTAGTAGCCTTGCTGAAAGCAACGACAGTGGTCACGTATGAGCATAAACGAGTGAAAAATAGAACTGGGCATACCTGAGATCCAGATACTTATTCGCATATACATGTAATTGTAATCATCTCTTACTGACATAAACATATGTGACAAATGACGAAATCTGTAAACAGTTTCCGCACATGGGAAGTGCTAACGTAAATCGATCTTATGCCGTAAAGTGGTTTGATGTCGTTACTCAGTCGTTAGCGTGGATGTCGAGGTAAGATATTCTTTTAATTATCCCGATACAGGTGTATTTCTAAAATGATTATTGTGTCTTGATTAAGAGGCATTTAATGGTGAACGGTTCCACTTTTTTTCTCAGAAATGTACGTGATATTTCAAAAACCGAGTTTTATATTAATGAAGCGCCCTATAAATCCTTACTACACCGTCCGATTTTAATATCACACGTCATCGTTGTTTGTCGAATGGCGATAAGTGTTCTTGTTTTTTCGGTTTTATTTTCTTCCTTTTCTTCTTCTTGTTAAAATAATCTTTAACAAGTATTAAGTGGTAATGAAATAATTCTTTATCAGAATATGATTTCTTTCTTAAATATTGTATTGTCTAACACCTTAAAATGCGTTCGGGCCGTAATCTGTAGAGTAATATTACTTTTAAACATAAGCATAACAAAGACATTTATTAAACACCTATGAATAAAGTAAGTAATTAAAATTAATAATTAAAACAAACTAATCTTATTTCCCATCTAGGTCAAAGTGAGACATGTGACATATTTCTGTAATTAGTGTACTAATTAACATGATTAACTGACTGAATGATCTTAATCATATAAGAGATATCAGACACAATTCAAGGACAAGGCAGGATAAAAACCCTTAATTAAAACATATGTTCCTATGAATGAAAACTAAACATTGTTTATGTCATGTTTGAGACTTATGACAACACTAAATGCACAGGTAAGGATGAACTGCGCCAAAAAGGTTGATTTTAGGTTTTCATGAAGTATTTTTGTAATATTTGAACAAGAGCTGATTTTCACTGAAGATGCTCACAAAAACAGTACAAACATAGTGTTAAAAATATCATCTTGGGTCACGGATTTTCACTTTGAAGTTTTGAGAGTCTGACTTTTTCACTCATTTTAGCCGTATTTGTGTATTTGGCCAGTCCAAAACTTGCAAGTGTAGGAAACAAATGCCAGCTGTCAGTCATATGTAAGTCTGAAAATATTTATACTGATATGTCAATGCTTTCCGCAACTTTAAAATACGACATTTCCAGTGGGCCGCACAGGATCCTATCCTTCCTCGTCTTTTGCTACGGATGCCAACTTGTCGGAGCTGAGCCTCCCTTTAATCTGTTCCGGAAACCCAAAACAAGCAAAGAGAGTACATGTACATGCTCGTTATGCCCTTTCAATGTCAAGGTCAACATGTATACATGTACATGTATGTAAACTGGGGGCAAAAGAAAGTCTACCGAATGTGATTTTTATGTAACTAAAAACTGAAAAAAAGAGTTGTTAAATTTGATAACGTCTATTTAACCATCTCTTATCCCTGTCTCTTCCGGAGGCAAGCGCGTCCACTAGCCTATATCAAAGCAGCTTTTAACAACATAAAAAAGCTAGTGGACGCTCTTGCCACGTGAAGATGTTTATATACATGATCCACTAAATTCAAAACAAGGTTGCATATATATCTTCGCCTTATCTTTGAAATAGCTGAACATTCTTTTTTGCAGACGTGATTTGACCCTTAGCCAGGTATCATTAAAGCTCTGCCAATACAAATATACCGTTCGGCATAGACTTAAATATATCTCCAAGGAACCGTCATGTGATGACGCTGTGGCTATACTGGGGACTGATTGCCACTTTCACCTTGTCTACAAGTGTGATGTGACACGTGAAGTGTATCAGCGTGAGTGTATGTATACAATGTAGCGACCTCGCTGGACTTACAGGGGAGGCTGTTCGCATACTTTTGGCTTCAGACTTCGATTGCTTGATGGATGCGAGAAGACCAAACTGTGATATCGACTGAAAGTTTGCATGCGACTTATAGCCTACACTAGATAAATACAACATGGCTGTTTCGGCATCCATAGAGGACTAGATAAGTTACTTTTCACCGTGGTGTATCAGAGGTATTCACTAAAACAGGCCTATCTTTTCGCGAACATCATTCATCACTATTTCATTGTGATCCATTAACATATGCTCATGATATAGTCGGAATCGTACAATAGACTCTCCTTCTAGCAGAGAACCCTTATGATTATGGGCACTTTAAGGGTTTTATCGGTTTTATTTATATCCCATATTACAATATCGTCAAATCCTAAACTATATCTTTTCGTACTTCCATAGCTTGCTTCATGAAAAACCAAAGGTTGTATTGTTAATATTGAACTATGATATCAAATATCATTATGACTGGACCTATAGGTTTAATGTATACGTACTGCGTTCTAATGTAAGTGTAAGTGTAAGTGTAAATGTAAATGTAAATGTAAATGTAAGTGTAAATTGAAATGAGATGTAAGTGTAAATGTAAGTGTAAATGTAAATGTAAATGTAAGTGTAAATGTAAGTGTAAATGTAAATGTGAATGTAAATGTAAATGTAAATGTAAATGTAAATGTAAATATAAATGTAAATTATCGTCAAAAGTAACGTAAATGTAAATGTAAATGTAAGTGTAAGTGTAAATTGAAATGAAATGTAAGCGTAAGTGTAAATGTAAGTGTAAATGTAAATGTAAATGTAAATGTAAATGTAAATGTGAATGTGAATGTAAATGTAAATGTAAATGTAAATGTAAATTATCGTCAAAAGTAACGTCTCGTGTTTAGCATAATCTGATACCCTCGTCCGGGCTACAAACTCCTGCAATCAACCAACTCTGACCACTGGTTCATTAATCCATTCGTTACGAAACACATGTACAGCTAGTTGTATGATGTCTAATAAAATGTCGAAAAAACAATGTGTTTATTTGTTGTTTAACGCGACACTCAGCAACATTCCAGCTATATGACGTCTATCTGTATACAATCGAGTCTAGCCCAGACAAACCTGCTATTGATAATAGGTGGGGTATGACACGCTATCAAGCAAGTCACTGAACCTGACCACCCGATCCATTTAGACGCCTCATCCGACACACATAGGATGCAGGGGACCCTCTCACCACCAAGTCCAACGGCGAAGCTCAACAGCAGCAACCAGTAAAAGCAGATCTAAACGTACATATATATCACGATGCATACGGTTAACTAGGGTAATTCTACAAGGGACACTTCCTTCCGAGAAGATAATGGCAGTAGAAATACATGTACATGATAAATATAGTGGGCCACTACATTTAATTTAAACATTTTTTATTCACATGAAAAGGATTAGGCACAAGGTATGACAACTCAGATTCCGACCCATTTATTTACAGATACAGTATAATACGTTTATAACGAACATGCTTATAACGAACTGACCGATATAACGAACTTATTTTTTAGTCCCGACCATTTGTTGTATAAATGCTGTATATATGCCTATAACGAACTACGGTTATTACGAACTAAAATAAGTGGTCCCTTTGAGCTCGTTATAACCGTAGTTTACTGTACGCTCATTTAAAATAATGCAATTTAGTAACGTAAACGAGGGAAGGGCATTAGGGAAACGTATTACATAATAAACGTACACTAACATTGCTCACTCAAGCCTTTTTGTTTTCTTTATTTATGACTGTACATTCTTGTTGAATAATTGTCGTTCACATGATTGTGTATTACTTTGTGGCCAACTAGCATCAACCGCCTCCGTGGTCTAGTGGTAGAGCGTCCAGCCGGAGAGCGGTTGTCCGGGGTTCTATCCCCGGTCGCGTCATACCAACAGACGTTCAATCAATATTAACGTTGCCATATACATAGAAAATCTCACCCGAGTGTCTTTTGATATCAAATATATCAACCCGAGTTGATAAAAGTGGAAAAATTCCGAGGCTTGCCGAGGATTTTTGCCACTTTTATCAACGAGTGTTGATATATTTGATATCAAAAGACACGAGGGTGAGATTTTATTTATCATCCAACATCATTCTTTCAACTTTTTCAATTTGTAGACAGTAATTAGCAGTGTCTTCAGTGTAAAAAGTACTGAAAACGGCTTCAGTAGCAGAGCCATTAGTGATGTCATTTGATTGTGGCGTCATGGTAACCAAAGACGTCACAATGGTCTGCAAAGCATTGTGATGTAAATTCATTGCAGCGATATCTACAGTGTAGATATCGCTTGATCTCATCCAAGCAATATCTCCCGTGGGAGCCAGTTTTGGATGATAAATCGTATGTGTCGAGGGTTAACAATTGGACTCTAAACCAAACGCGGTTCATTGCCAGCTGATGCCATTACAATGAGACACCATTGAGAAGAGATTTTTCAGAAGTACTTTTTTTATTCGTCTCATGTACTATTCGCCGTACACTTGGTACCAGTCTGGTTTAAAGTGTATCCCGGATCACATTTAGAGCAGGAAGTATTGTCTGTGCACCGGCTACATCCTTCTCCGCACCCTGTAATAGATAAACATTGGTTTGTATGCCTATTACATATTACATCGTGATAAAAAAAAGAAGAGAAGCTGATGTTTTTTTGCCGGTGACATACATGATAACCCCTTGCTATTCAGTTTGAGAGGTGCATGTCTACATGCATATATTTATCACAATAAAGGGTGCACTCAATACATGTTGAATGTTTTACACCCAAAGTGGATTCGGTTTAAATGAAATGAAAGTGTGAATTGATCTGCTTTAACATTTAAACGTGTTCCGTTCTTCTTTGACGCTTTTTACCAAAGATATGTAAACACTCAGGGGTGGATTTGAAAGGGATCAGGGACTTCCGAATTAACACGTGAAGACAAGGCAACCTGTGTAAAGAGTAAACACTCTCAACCCCCACCGTGAGGTCACAGCCATGTCACATGTACATACACAAACGCTTATACCTGTACTATAGGCCTGGGTGCTGCTTAGAATACAGTGATTAGGGACGGTGTTGGGGCTTGAATGTTTGTAAGAATATATATATATTAAAATTTTCAGTTACTGCTTCTTTTTCTGAAGGATGAGTCAAATTTCTTTTTTAACCTGAGGCAAAATTACTTTTTACCAAAAGCATCCCAGCGGTCCAAACTTTTATAAAATTCTATAAAAAGAAGTCGAGGTATTTTTTATTTTTAGTCAACGTGTCCTGTGCATTAGATTATTAATCAAATCAATATTTACCTATTGTTGATCAGTTATTGTTGAAGTTATCAAATTGTTTGATAGGCATTACTTAGAAGTTGTCGGATGACAAGGTAGACTCAATTTTATGGATAACAACTTTAATACTGTGAAAAGCGACGTTTCGGTATAGATCAAGCAAGACAACGGTATACGGATCCATACCGAAACGTCGCTTTTCACAGTATTAAAGAAGTTGTTATCCATAAAATTGTGTCTACCTTGTTGAAGTTATCGTTAATATAATTTCATTTTGTGATAATAAAATAGAGACTGGCTTAGTAAGCATGGGCATATGCCTAGCGATGACTTGTGACACAAATAGTGTATTGATGGCCGTAACTTACAGTCGCAGAAAGACGATCTCTGTGTGTCTTTCCTGAACCAACCATCACGACAATCCTGTCCCTTGACGCACACTAAGCGGGGTTCATTCCTACAGTGAATAGTATTCATGTGTATATTCATATTGCATACATTGCCTGCCTTTACCAGCAATCATTTCTTTGTTGTTTAACGCCGCACTTAGCAATATTTCAGCTATATTACGGCGGTCTGTATATAATCGAGTCTGGACCAGACAATTCAGTGACTGACATCATGATCCTCGATCCACTTAATTGAGATACGATAACAGCCACCAATCAAGTCAGCGAGTCTGACCACCCGATCTCGTTAGTCGCCCGGATCTTCATGGGTAAGAAAGCAAGTAAATGAACCGTAAACAAAACGTTTGAGTACCGACGTTTAAATTGACGTCGTCCCTGAACTATGTTGTAGTTATAACCATACAGTATTCTCCTATCTCGAGTGAGTGAGTGAGTTAGGTTTAACGCCGCATTGAACAGTATTTCAGTTGTTACGGCTGTCAGATTAACGAAGGCGGAAGTCCAAGTATTCCAGGTTTCAGATTTAAACCACTTTGCTGACACCAACGAGCCCAGGTTTAGTACTGACAAACCAAAGATCATATTAATCTTGGCGAATCTGGGATTCGAACCACTGACCAGACACGTTAATTTGTACAGCTAACTGAAGGGCCATGCAACTAAAACATGTCACCCACCCAAAATAATCTGATAAAAACAGTCCCAGTTCAGTCGAATTCGGATATAACAAACTCAATGGAAGCCAGCACTCTGATATAACGAACCACTAAAATCCCGTGTTGGCGATTACCACCATTGGGAATGTGATTACCGTATTCGATGCAATAAGCGCCCAGGGCGCTCTCAAAATTAGAAATAGGGGGCTCTTATTAGAATATTATTTTGGTGAAAAAAAAAAGATTTGAAAGATAAAATTCGTGGTTTATGCTGACAGCCTAAAATGTTTATATACGACAGATATATATTTTCCAGAATTTAATTGCCCATAATTAAGGGTGCATATAACACACGAGTGTGTATTTTACGCGAATAAATAAGTCTTTTTTACATCGATCGGAAGGGGTGCTAATTGGGATTGTTCACTAGCCAATATATTAGTAAATACCGCCGTGGGTGCTTATTACGTTGAATACGGTATCACATTTCTGGTTGATTTAAGAAGACGATTTCCCTTGTGTCAAATTCTTCCTCAACTCACTTATTGTCTAACTTAAGGATTAGTGTATAAATCTATCTCCTTTTGACATATTTCTAATATACCACAGATACGAGGTGACAACTTGGCACTTGGCACTTAGTGCATCATATCATGCAAAGAGACAGAGGAAGAAAATAAAACGGAAGTCAAATAATTATTGTTATGAAACAGTTACAAAATAACTTTCGGTTTCTGAATTACAAAATAAGTATTTCACCTCTTGGTACAAAAACAAATTATTTCGTCAGAATATTAATACAAAAATCGATTCTTAATAATGGTTATTATATATGGAAATTAATAGTAAGCGGTGCTTAACTTTATTGCAAGTCTATATCACGGCACTTCTGTCCTTTGACGCACACTATATACATATTCAAAATGTGTTATGTCCAGTTGTATGTACCAAGCACAAGGAAACATCGCCTTACACGTCCCTATTGTTCTTGATGGTGATGTTGTTGAAGGTGTAGCTGCCGTGGGGGTCGGTTGTGACGCGGTAGTAGAGGTGGTTGAAGGTGGGGAGGTATCCCTCGTCACATGACGTACAGCCCAGGCAGCCGACCGAGCTCCGGACGTACATGGTGTAGGAACAGTGGGAGTTCTTGCTGGGACACTTCACTAAAACATGGGGAATACAGGCGGGGGACTGGACGAGCTTTACTCATTAATAATTTCAAATAATCTTTACTGGTTTGAACAGAAATAACTATTCTGTCTTTGACAGAAAAAAAACAGCCCCCTTACAGACTATAACATGTTCGGTCTCTTACCTCTCCACATGGTGTAGATGAGACTAAACGTCTTCACATTCCGCCTTCTGCAGATGACTAAACGTCTCAACATACCGCCTTCTGCAGATGATTGAACGTCTCAACATTCCGCCTTCTGCAGATGATTGAACGTCTCAACATTCCGCCTTCTGCAGATGGCTAAGCGTCTCAACATACCGCCTTATGCAGATGATTGAACGTCTCAACATACCGCCTTCTGCAGATGATTGAACGTCTCAACATACGTACAGCCTTCTGCAGATGATTGAACATCTCAACATACGTACAGCCTTCTGCAGATGATTGAACGTCTCAACATACGTACAGCCTTCTGCAGATGATTGAACGTCTCAACATACGTACAGCCTTCTGCAGATGATTGAACATCTCAACATACGGCCTTCTCCATATGAGACTGAACGTCCCAACATACCGCCTGTTTTGTATCTAAACGAGATGTGTATCTCTTCACGTACCAAATGATGGTCTGCAAATGAGACAGAACCTCACCACGTGCCACAGGTGTGTCTACAGACGAATGTCAGACCTCGCCACATACCACATAGGTATCTGCAGATGTGATGCTACCTCCACACACAATTAAGCTGGTGTCCAAAAAAATATCCCCGAGGGAGTTTAGATAGAACAATGTTTACCCCCAGGAAGGATCAGTGGGAATTAAGGCATAATCTCTTCACTCACCTCCCGATGGTTTGCACACTGCTGTCTGTTTACCCCCGGGGAGAGTGTGACGGACCATGTTGTACCCCCAGAAACAGGACTGACAGTTGTTGTAGCTAGAGCAGGTGGAACACCCATCACCGCACCCTGAAGAAACATACATCTATATTGCTCTATACATGTGTGACGTTCTTCAGTATTTTAAGAATCTGTATTCCCGATACCCTTATGTACTTCCGGTTGTAGATGCACGGCTTAAGAACACCCAACTAAACTGCCGACCAGAGGAAAGTATATACCCATGTTTGATAGTGCCTACTTATGACACAAACAAGAAATGGTTGATGTATTGATACGGGTAACACACATGTGTTTTGGACCTTAAATATGCAGTGCGAAGTGACAGTTTTCAGTCTAGTAACGTTTTGATAACGTTTGAAATATTTTGCTCAAATCCAATTTTTAAGTGTATACGTTTGACGGGCAGTTAAGATGCAAAGCTTAACAACATCCAGGTATATGAAGCAGCAATAGATGTGTTAATTGTTAATAGTGTTAGTTATCCTTCTTGCTCACAACGACTGCGGGCCCATCTGAGTGTGGAAGAAGCCAGTCAGGCAATGGTCGCCCTTCACACAGATCCACTGGGGCTCCATCCTACAAGGACAAATGTCAGGCAATACATTAAAGTGAGTGAGTGAGTGAGTGAGTGAGTGAGTGAGTGAGTGAGTGAGTGAGTGAGTGAGTGAGTGAGTGAGTGAGTGAGTGAGTGAGTGAGTGAGTGAGTGAGTGAGTGAGTGAGTGAGTGAGTGAGTGAGTGAGTGAGTGAGTGAGTGAGTGAGTGAGTGAGTGAGTGAGTGAGTGAGTGAGTGAGTGAGTGAGTGAGTGAGTGAGTGAGTGAGTGAGTGAGTGAGTGAGTGAGTGAGTGAGTGAGTGAGTGAGTGAGTGAGTGAGTGAGTGAGTGAGTGAGTGAGTGAGTGAGTGAGTGAGTGAGTGAGTGAGTGAGTGAGTGAGTGAGTGAGTGAGTGAGTGAGTGAGTGAGTGAGTGAGTGAGTGAGTGAGTGAGTGAGTGAGTGAGTGAGTGAGTGAGTGAGTGAGTGAGTGAGTGAGTGAGTGAGTGAGTGAGTGAGTGAGTGAGTGAGTGAGTGAGTGAGTGAGTGAGTGAGTGAGTGAGTGAGTGAGTGAGTGAGTGAGTGAGTGAGTGAGTGAGTGAGTGAGTGAGTGAGTGAGTGAGTGAGTGAGTGAGTGAGTGAGTGAGTGAGTGAGTGAGTGAGTGAGTGATATTCCAGCAAAATCACGACAAGGCAAACCAGAAATGAACTTCACACACTGTACTCTTGTTGGATAACGAACCCAGGCCTTTGGCGAACGCTTTAATCTCTAGGCTACCCCACTGCCAGTATATCAAGTTCTTTTCGTGAAAAAATAATATAAAGAAATGTTTAACATATACTTTGTTGGTAAGCAGCTGTCAATACATAGCGTGCATTCCTTAATTCCACTTATGCCATTTAGAATTGACGTACACGTCGACGGTGTTGCGGATGGGGACGGTCCTGTACGTGTAGTGGCCGCCGGTGTCGTTGGTGTCGCGGCGATGTCGGGGGTTGGTGGTCATCATATAGCCGTCCACACACCCGCCCTGACACCCCAGACACCCCAGGTTGGGCATGACGGCGTTGAAAGTGTCGGTGACGCAGTTGGTGGCGATGTTGGGACAGGGCACTGATTAATAGAATTGTCATGTTGACTCAGGGCACTGGGGAACTGAGATGTCATGTTGTGCTAAGGCACAAAGTTACAGAGATGTTGTGCCAAGGCACTGGAGCACATGTATGACATGTTGTGTTTAAGACACAAAGTAACAGAGATGTCATGTTGTGTCAAGGCACTGGGGCACATGTATGTCATGTTGTGTTTAAGACATAAAGTAACAGAGATGTCATGTTTTGTAAAGGCACTGGGGCACATGTATGTCATATTGTGTTTAAGACATAAAGTAACAGAGATGTCATGTTGTGTCAAGGTACAGGGGCACATGAATGTCATGCTGTGTCAAGGCTCTAAGTAACAGAGATGTCATGTTGTGTCGAGGCACTGGGGCACATGTATGTCATGCTGTGTCAAGGCTCTAAGTAACAGAGATGTCATGTTGTGTTAAGACACAATGTAACAGCGATGTCATATTGTGTCAAGGAATAATGTTGTGACAGGTTGCGGAACAGAGAATGTGATTTGGGACATACGTTTACTAAGTCGTTGTGGGACGAGCTGTATTTGGAACAAAGAACAGATACATTAAGATCACACATGACTCCGGGACTTGATGGAACAGTTGGTTTGCGACGTGCCCAGACTAGATTGGGAACCTGGCACTTTAAGATAATTCTATCTGAACACCACTAATAAAGTATGAAGCAGCTACATTATCAAAAGGAGTGTATTATAATCTACGACTTCTTTTGTCGCGAAAAGTCGTTTATTATTTACGCCATGTTTTCCCATAGGATCCGAAGCGAAATACGCAGCCTTCTTAAACAGCAATTTGTTCGGAAATTATGGGAATATTTGTACGTGAATAAATCCCGTTTAACGCCAAAGAAATTAAACACAATGACCAATCGGGGGCAGGGAATATAACACAAGAGTGACCAAAGGGTAATGGCTACTACACAGCGCCCCCTTATACATGACTGGACATGCTTGGTGTGGGAGCATCCGACATAAAGAACCGGAGCCGTGGTCAGCCCAGCGGTTCGGAGAATTTCAATGAGATCAAACATGGCGAGGGGCAATGGATTTGTCCACACACAAACTTTACGTTGTTAACATTCGTTCACTGACCTGTAAGGTACATATTGACCATAACACACGTGTGTTTAGATAGCTGAACAGATGGACATTGGTTATAACATGCAGAGGGTCTGTTTGGCGCTGTTTTTGTAGACGAGTCAAGTGTAACGTATGTACAATAGAAACAGGAGAAGAGGATTTTGGTTTGTATGGATAAGAAAAAAATTATCAAAAAGAAAACTTCTCTCATACAAAATAGAAAGTCGGTACAGCAGGTGTGATGAGTCATCCTTCCGGTGAATGACGATTGTTCACTATACAGATGTACTTACATCAACATAAAAAGTAAACCTTTCTATGACTTGTTTGTATTACCGACATGTGGGAATTGGGACGACCAGCATGTGATATGCCGTTAGGGGGGAAAAGAAATGTATTAAAAAATGTTCACGTTTGTCAAACAACCGATTTCATTGATATTTTGTTAAATTCCACAACCATTCATGAGTGAAAGCTTTTTTCTTGTTCGTCATACGTGAGTTCCATGTACGAGCATGAATAAATTGTCGTTCAGACACATTCTACCATATAATGTAATGGATACGTGTATAGAAAGTGATCCTGTTGATGCAAGACATACGCGTATATAGTGATCCTGTTGATGCAAGAGATACACGTATATAGTGATCCTGTTTATGCAAGAGATACACGTATATAGTGATCCTGTTGATGCAAGAGATACGTGTATATAGTGATCCTGTTGATGCAAGAGATACACGTATATAGTGATCCTGTTGATGCAAGAGATACGTGTATATAGTGATCCTGTTGATGCAAGAGATACGCGTATATAGTGATCCTGTTGATGCAAGAGATACACGTATATAGTGATCCTGTTGATGCAAGAGATACGCGTATATAGTGATCCTGTTGATGCAAGAGATACGTGTATATAGTGATCCTGTTGATGCAAGAGATACGTGTATATAGTGATCTTGATGATGCAAGAGATACGTGTATATAGTGATCCTGTTGATGCAAGAGATACACGTATATAGTGATCCTGTTGATGCAAGAGATACGTGTATATAGTGATCTTGATGATGCAAGAGATACGTGTATATAGTGATCCTGTTGATGCAAGAGATACGTGTATATAGTGATCCTGTTGATGCAAGAGATACGTGTATGTAGTGATCCTGTTGATGCAAGAGATACACGTATATAGTGATCCTGTTGATGCAAGAGATACGCGTATATAGTGATCCTGTTGATGCAAGAGATACGTGTATATAGTGATCCTGTTGATGCAAGAGATACACGTATATAGTGATCCTGTTTATGCAAGAGATACACGTATATAGTGATCCTGTTGATGCAAGAGATACGTGTATATAGTGATCCTGTTGATGCAAGAGATACACGTATATAGTGATCCTGTTGATGCAAGTGATACGTGTATATAGTGATCCTGTTGATGCAAGAGATACGCGTATATAGTGATCCTGTTGATGCAAGAGATACACGTATATAGTGATCCTGTTGATGCAAGAGATACGAGTATATAGTGATCCTGTTGATGCAAGAGATACGTGTATATAGTGATCCTGTTGATGCAAGAGATACGTGTATATAGTGATCTTGATGATGCAAGAGATACGTGTATATAGTGATCCTGTTGATGCAAGAGATACGTGTATATAGTGATCCTGTTGATGCAAGAGATACACGTATATAGTGATCCTGTTGATGCAAGAGATACGCGTTTATAGTGATCCTGTTGATGCAAGAGATACACGTATATAGTGATCCTGTTGATGCAAGAGATACGTGTATATAGTGATCCTGTTGATGCAAGAGATACGTGTATATAGTGATCCTGTTGATGCAAGAGATACACGTATATAGTGATCCTGTTGATGCAAGAGATACACGTATATAGTGATCCTGTTGATGCAAGAGATACGTGTATATAGTGATCCTGTTGATGCAAGAGATACGTGTATATAGTGATCCTGTTGATGCAAGAGATACACGTATATAGTGATCCTGTTGATGCAAGAGATACGCGTATATAGTGATCCTGTTGATGCAAGAGATACACGTATATAGTGATCCTGTTGATGCAAGAGATACGTGTATATAGTGATCCTGTTGATGCAAGAGATACGTGTATATAGTGATCTTGATGATGCAAGAGATACGTGTATATAGTGATCCTGTTGATGCAAGAGATACGCGTATATAGTGATCCTGTTGATACAAGAGATACACGTATATAGTGATCCTGTTGATGCAAGAGATACGCGTATATAGTGATCCTGTTGATGCAAGAGATACGTGTATATAGTGATCCTGTTGATGCAAGAGATACGTGTATATAGTGATCTTGATGATGCAAGAGATACGTGTATATAGTGATCCTGTTGATGCAAGAGATACACGTATATAGTGATCCTGTTGATGCAAGAGATACGTGTATATAGTGATCTTGATGATGCAAGAGATACGTGTATATAGTGATCCTGTTGATGCAAGAGATACGTGTATATAGTGATCCTGTTGATGCAAGAGATACGTGTATATAGTGATCCTGTTGATGCAAGAGATACACGTATATAGTGATCCTGTTGATGCAAGAGATACGCGTATATAGTGATCCTGTTGATGCAAGAGATACGTGTATATAGTGATCCTGTTGATGCAAGAGATACACGTATATAGTGATCCTGTTTATGCAAGAGATACACGTATATAGTGATCCTGTTGATGCAAGAGATACGTGTATATAGTGATCCTGTTGATGCAAGAGATACACGTATATAGTGATCCTGTTGATGCAAGAGATACGTGTATATAGTGATCCTGTTGATGCAAGAGATACGCGTATATAGTGATCCTGTTGATGCAAGAGATACACGTATATAGTGATCCTGTTGATGCAAGAGATACGTGTATATAGTGATCCTGTTGATGCAAGAGATACGTGTATATAGTGATCCTGTTGATGCAAGAGATACACGTATATAGTGATCCTGTTGATGCAAGAGATACGTGTATATAGTGATCTTGATGATGCAAGAGATACGTGTATATAGTGATCCTGTTGATGCAAGAGATACGTGTATATAGTGATCCTGTTGATGCAAGAGATACACGTATATAGTGATCCTGTTGATGCAAGAGATACGCGTTTATAGTGATCCTGTTGATGCAAGAGATACACGTATATAGTGATCCTGTTGATGCAAGAGATACGTGTATATAGTGATCCTGTTGATGCAAAAGATACGTGTATATAGTGATCCTGTTGATGCAAGAGATACACGTATATAGTGATCCTGTTGATGCAAGAGATACACGTATATAGTGATCCTGTTGATGCAAGAGATACGTGTATATAGTGATCCTGTTGATGCAAGAGATACGTGTATATAGTGATCCTGTTGATGCAAGAGATACACGTATATAGTGATCCTGTTGATGCAAGAGATACACGTATATAGTGATCCTGTTGATGCAAGAGATACACGTATATAGTGATCCTGTTGATGCAAGAGATACGTGTATATAGTGATCCTGTTGATGCAAGAGATACGTGTATATAGTGATCTTGATGATGCAAGAGATACGTGTATATAGTGATCCTGTTGATGCAAGAGATACGCGTATATAGTGATCCTGTTGATGCAAGAGATACGCGTATACAGTTATCCTGTTGATGCAAGAGATTCGCGTATATAGTGATCCTGTTGATGCAAGAGATACGCGTATATAGTGATCCTGTTGATACAAGAGATACCCGTATATAGTGATCCTGTTGATGCAAGAGATACGCGCATATAGTGATCCTGTTGATGCAAGAGATACGCGTATATAGTGATCCTGTTGATGCAAGAGATACGTGTATATAGTGATCCTGTTGATGCAAGAGATACGCGTATATAGTGATCCTGTTGATGCAAGCGATACGCGTATATAGTGATCCTGTTGATACAAGAGATACGCGTATATAGTGATCCTGTTGATGCAAGAGATAGCGTATATAGTGATCCTGTTGATGCAAGAGATACGCGTATATAGTGATCCTGTTGATGCAAGAGATACGCGTATATAGTGATCCTTTTGATGCAAGAGATACGCGTTTATAGTGATCCTGTTGATGCAAGAGATACGCGTATATAGTGATCCTGTTGATGCAAGAGATACGCGTATATAGTGATCCTGTTGATGCAAGAGATACGCGTATATAGTGATCCTGTTGATGCAAGAGATACGCGTATATAGTGATCCTGTTGATGCAAGAGATACGTGTATATAGTGATCCTTTTGATGCAAGAGATACGCGTATATAGTGATCATGCCTACAGAACAAGGAGTGGCTCCCTACTGCAGCTGATTTGACTTTTTTTGTTGCTCGGAATACAAGCATATAATTCACTCACACACACACACACACACACACACACACACACACACACACACACACACACACACACACACACACACACAGAGACATGTGCACGTATACAGACAAACACACATATACGCATGTATAGACACATATACACACATATAGACACACACACTTATCACACATATAGACACATACTTTCAGACAGACACATATACTCACACACGCATACGCTCTCACACACATACACATTGACACATACATGCAGACAGACACTCACAAACATTACACATACATGTAGACCGACAGATGTACTCACACATATATACACTCGCACACACACAGAGAGAGAGAGACACACACACACACACACACACATACACATAGCCACGTACATACAGACAGTCACACACACAGAAACACACACAGAGACTCACTAACCGTCACACTTTCAAACACACACACACACACAGACACAGACACGAATACATACACACTCACATACATTCTAATTCCTCCTGCCATTCCCATCTTTCGTAAAATGAAAATTCAGAAATATATTCTCATGTACCACTCATCAATGACGCTTAGCGACGTCACATGGTGGACTAATGACGTCATTCATTCATTGCTAAAGCAGCCTTCTTCAGCTGACTCCACATCGCCTTTTACACAGGCCCCATCGCGTCAATCATGGCATGTTGCAAGTCAGAGCTAATTATACCACAACACCTGCTCCAAGTCAACAACACTCATTATAAACTCAAAAGTCATGACGTGATGGCTAATACTTGTCGCAAAAGATCTATCATTTGTCTCATTAACTTAACAACTCATCGAAAGGTGCAAGTCGTGACGTAAGCATCCTGTCCAGCCTATGTGTCACCCTGACCTTCACAGCGACTCGGCTAGGTACGGAGGTTTATCGAGTTTGTATAAAGGCGTGTACTAGTTTTGTGAGTAATTTCCAACTGCTGTTTCTCGTGTAACGCCGAGATGTGAGAGAGACACCCCTGCTTCGCGATGTCCGTGTGCCAGGGCATACACTGACCCATTCGTCCCCCTCTCGATGAATGTTATGTGCGAAAATACGACAAACCAATCAGAATGCGCGTATGATTTCGAGTTCTTTGTCAAATAATCCCTCAGAAATTTTTGATTTTACATATGTCTTGCACCTAAAAATATACCCAAGACACAGTTAAATGTGTTCAATCATACTGTATAATTCCGCACGTCCCGATGTCCTTTAGATTGCATCAGAAATATATATAATATATGGGGAAATATATGTGAACCATTACGCAACGAGTTGACAATTGTTTTAGGTATGCCCGTTTGCGCTAAGACGGAACCTAGTCGCAAAAATGGCCATGAGAGGGGCACGAGTCGCTATTCGGCTTGTCCCGGAATAACATGAGTTGGTCACGAATGGCACTGATCCAAAGATACAAACACATACCAACTGGGGCAACTGAAACGTAGTAACGGTACAATTAGCGCTGACGTCATTACCTGTCGACATTATGAGTGCCTGCACGTTTAGTCCACACGTGAGAATCAAGATGGCACTGACCAATGTCCCCAGACTTGTTGTGGCCGCCATATTGTCCGATTGAGTAACTGATGGGAAGCACTGGACGTATGACACCTGTTTCGGATAATAATCTGATAAAGTCTTTCACTATTTGTAGAGGTTATAAATACAGGAAACGTAGTTATTACGAACACGCTTATAACGAACTGACGGATATAACGAACATATTTTTGGTCCCGGACTTTTGCTGTGTACATGTATATGCTTATGACGAACTACGGTTATATCGAACTTATATCAGTCGTCTCTTTGAGTTCGTTATAACCGTTGTTTACTGTACTTATTTTACAGAGACAAAAGGTTGAAAGAGATGTTAACCTGAAATATATCACAATAATTATTTTCGAAATAAGGTCCTATGATTTAAGTTTTGGAGAAAGATTTATGTCATATGCAGGCCATGTCGCAATTACATCAGATACAGCATGCCTAGACAGTGACAGATACCATGGTACTAGTATTATATATGTATTTGAATCCCGTACCGATGTCAGTGCAGATTAATTCCGCAAAGATTTGCTTGTACGGTATATACCTCAGGATGTTGTACGTATGACACTATTAACCTGCCCATATATACGATATATATGACGATATTCATCTAACAATACGATATATATGACGATATTCATCTCATAATACGATATATATGACGATATTCATCTCATAATACGATATATATGACGATGTTCATCTAACAATGCGAAATATATATGACGATATTCATCTAAAAATACGATATATATGACGATGTTCATCTAACAATACGACATATATGAAGATATTCATCTCATAATACGATATATATGACGATATTCATCTCATAATACGATATATATGACGATGTTCATCTAACAATGCGATATATATATGACGTTATCCATCTAAAAATACGATATATATGACGATGTTCATCTAACAATACGATATACATGACGATATTCATCTCATATTACGATATATATGACGATATTATCTAACAATACGATATACATGACTATATTCATCTCAGTGTATGATATATATGACGATATTCATCTCATAATAAGATAAATATGATGATGTTCATATCACAATATGATATGTATGACAACATTCACCTCACACTACGATACATATGACGATTTTCATGTCATATTTACCGATATATATGACGATATTCGTCTCGCAATACAATAGTTATGACGATATTCGTCTCACAATACGATATGTATGACGATTTTCATCTAAATACGAGGTATGACGATATTCATCTCGCAATACGATATACATGACAATGTATGATATTCATCTGAATAAGACGTGTATGAGGATATTTACTACTCAAAACGATATAAATGACGATACAGTACGACGATATTAACTTCGAAAATGCGACATGCACGACGATATTTATTCCAACGAGCGATGCGTAGTACTACATTCACTACCACGCACCTATGATTCGTTAATCCGGAAAAAAAGTTCACCCTGACAATTTAATCAGAAACACAACCGTCCGTAATAACGGGGTTCTCGCTGTACATAGGACGGTATGTGTACTTAGCCAGGTCTTCTCAGTGCATATGTATTGTACAATATCTTATCAATGAATTTAACCATTAATACATTACTGGCTGTACAATAAATTATCATGTTTGTTTTGTTAACCACAACGCATTGTCTTTAACATCGAACACGTTATCAAGTACACTAGCTAAAGCTTAGTAACGTTTGTAGATAGGGTCGTTATTATTAGCTTAGGGACCCTCCCAGTAACCCAAACTGCCAAGGTTGCTTGTGAATATCATTTCATTTGACTGTTCATTTGTTCATGACCACTCCCGAGGCTGTGTTTTTTAGGTACAGCCTACCCCGAGTTGATCGAGTGACATTTGTGACACTCCTCTTATTCCACTCAATATCATGTACAAATAGCTTGTGTAAATAACCGTTAGCTGACTAACTGGACTAGAATTGAATTATATTGTTGCACGCTCAATGTACATGTATATGATTTGATATAAGCTTGTTATGAAAGTAAATTCTCTACTGGAAGATTATTCCAATTAGATATTTATGTTATGACTTTATGCATGGAAAGTAACTGACAGTTCGTTAGGTTTAGGGGCCCGGATCCGAAATTAGCAGGGTAGAAATGCATTCCGTTGCCGAGTAAGGATACCCTGATCACCGTTCGAATCCGCCCAATAACAATATTTGATCTTAAAGCGGGAGTATAGCCCAATAATGTAACCCAGTTATTTAAAAGTGATCAAATCAATAAAGTGAGTGAGTCAGTATTATTTTACGCCGCTTTTAGCAATATTCCAGCAATATCACCAAGATATGTACAGATCATTGTTGGGAATCGAAGCCGGGCATTCGGCGTCACAGGAGAACGCTTTAACCACTAGGCTAACATCACGTGTATCCAATGCTTGCCGACCCAAAACATTTTCAATCGATATATTTATTGGCACATATTTTACAGTAAATAACATTTTTTAAACCAAAAAATCGACATTTTAGTTTTTAAATATAATTCCTTATTTCCATAGCTGCACTGTTGTATTATACCCGTATGCACAAGAACGAATTTTACTGTAGGCAATTATGAAATAAATCAAAGGAGATGTATTTCAAACTTAATAAACCCATCGTTTTTCCTGTTCATATAAATCATCGTCCGTGTCCCCATAATATAGCGATGCATCATTTAGATTGTGTCAAGGGTATTATTAACAATCATAATTAATTCATCTACATTGATCTCCACACAAACCTTTTATTGTCCTCCTACATTAACATATATGTTAATGTGACGTACAAGTCGGATATAACCGATGTTACACAGATACACGTCAAGTACGTCATGTATAAACACATTGTACAGACAGAACAAGGTTACAGCTTGCCGACTGTGACGTCAACATAAAAAGGCAACCATTGTTTCAACTCAGTGAGACAGCTTGGAGACAAATTAAAGTCGTGTCAGAGGTCAAACTGCCACAAGACAATTGCCGAACTTGTCACACGGTGAACCCATAAATCTGGCAGTGTCGCCTGGCGACAAGCTCACAGTTAGGTAACCAGGCAATCAGCAGTGGCCAACGGCGCGTCGTTTTGGAAATGTGTTTCTTAATATTAATGAACTCATTGATGAGGTGCGATACAGTTCGTTGTTACAGCGATGGGTTTTGGTAATTTATCTTTATTTATTTGTAGGTGAGGCTTTGGGGAGCAACCAGTTTGACGTATTTGTTTGTTGTTTAACGCCGCGCTCAGCAATAGTCCAGCTATATGACGGCGGTCTGTGAGTAATCGAGTCTGGACCAGACAATCCAGTAATTGACATCATGAGCATTAGGATATGATGACATGCATCAACCAAGTCAGCGAGTCTGACCATTTGATCCCGTTAGTCGCTTCTTACGACAAGCATAGTCGCCTCTTACGGCGAACATGGGTTGCTGAAGGCCTATTCTAACTCGGATCTTCATGGTTAACATTGACATCACGAGCATCAATCAATGCGATTGAGATAGATGACAACATACATGTATATCAACCAAGTCATCGAGCCCGACTACCTGATCCCGTTAGTCGCCTCTTATCACATGCATGGGTTGCTGATGGTCAATTCTAACACAGCTCTTCACGGGTCAGTTTGTTGTGTCATCATTGGAATAGATGATAAGCGATTTAAGCCTCTTGACGAACCGATCTAGACGGATGACACGATTTCCGTGCATCCTGCATTTTACTCATGTGGGGATTCGAACCCAAGTGTTCCGAGCAATGAGCAAACGCTTTAACCACTGGCCTACCAAACCACCCCATTTACCATACGTACTGACACTGTCAAATTCCCATCCAGTTCCTTGTGTGTTTAGTGGAGCAAACACATCTTTAGTAACATTATTCATGTGGCACAAACCGCCTCCGTGGTCTAGAGGTAGAGCGTCCGCCCGGAGAGCGGAAGGTCCGGGGTTCGATCCCCGGCCACGTCATACAAAAAAGACGTTAAAAGATGGTACTTGTTGTTACCCTGTCAGGCGCTCGACATTAAGGGGCTAAAACAAGGACTGGTCGGCTCGGAGTCAGTATACTGTGTCTGAGTGAGGTATTCATGTTAAACTGCGGCAAGGTATCTCAGTGTGCTAGCACTATAAATCGGCATCAGTCCGGACTAGTATAAGTGCAATAATCTTGGACGCGAAGTTAAACCCAATTTCACCTCACCTCATGTGGCACAAATGATGAAGATTTGTGGGTTGAAGTTATTAGAAGGTCTGTTTTCTAATATAATGTCCCAACCAAATGAGAAAGGATTGAATAGAAATACAGAAAAATAGTATTACTACATTCCGGGTGGGTGCCTCTTTATTCCTTCTTATCATGCGGCTAAATCAGAAGGACTGCATAATTTGCATGTTGTCTGTCATTATGAAGTATGAATCGCAATGTTTTATGGACATTGTATAAAAGAAGCCGAAGTGAAAACGAACGTCCCCTCGGATGCCATGTCCACCATTTAGACCGGCAGAAGTTCTGTGCCTAGTGCAGACATCGATATCTCTCCTGCTGCAGGCGTTTTGAAAGGCCGGTATATGTGCACATTGTTAAGAAATGGTGTGTATCACAATCGTGCCATCCTATCCTACTATCCTACTATCTAATAAATTCTGATGTTAACTGTTGCTGTTGACAGTTAATTTTGAAATACGAGAGCAGCCCAGAACCTTTGTTGTTTACACGGAATGCAGCTAAATCATTTTCGCTTTTGTAGAAGAAACGCTACAGTTGTTTATAAGATATATGACCTCGTTTTCATATAGAAACTAAAACGCCTCATGTGTACGACAGATGTTATCATTATTCTTGTTTACCGGTAGATGCGTATTCATCTGATAATTTCAGTTTTTTGGTCATTGCTATTTGTTACTTATAACCTTGTACCATCGAGGAATGTGCACGTAAAATTATGACTGATCATCGCCAGTGACAAGATAGGATGACAATAGACAGAAACCTTAGAGTCAGGAAAA